TGTGCTACTCTCTTGTTTCCCGCCTTTTCCTTTGTTCCCTCGCCCCCTCGTTCCCTCTTTCCTTCTTTCGTTCTTTCCCAAGTTCCCTCTCTGTCTTTCCATCTCCCTCTCTCTCTCATTCCCCATGCACCTCTCTTCCCTTATTCCCTCTATCGATATTTCCCCCCTCCCATCCCTCTCCCTTCTCTATCTCTCTCACCCCAACTTAAATCCCATCCCCACAGCACATCATCTTAGCAGCAGCCATCCTCCTCCCCCTCTCCTCCTCCTCCCTCTTCTCTGGTCGCCTCCTCCAGTCACACCTCCCCCTCTATCCCTCACTCACTCCCCTCCTCCCCCTCCTTCTCCCCCCCACCGCTCTCCTACACGGCCCCTGCTGGTACCTTCTAGTGGGGGGTTCGGGAGAGGGGGGGAGAGGGGAGTGGTTGGGAGAGAGGGGTAGAAGAGAGCTATCGTGGTGGGGAGGAAGTTTTACAGGAAGTTTCCCTTCTCCCTCCTCTCACCTCTCTCCTTTCTCACTCGTTCTTCTCTTCTCATTCCTCGCTCTCTCCCTCCTCTTCCACTCCTTTCGCTCTGTAGCAACAAGTTACATGGTAATTCAAAGCATGCCTAGAGAGCACTACGTTATCTTATTAGGCTTACAAGGTTTCGCAGGAGGAGCTCTAGTGGCAGCTCTACCTGTATTGGAGCGATACTATATGGGAGATATAGCAGGGCTGTTTGTGGATGGGAGGGTGCCTTTTTCTCTGCTGGTAGAGAGGTTCCTCCCAGTGCTGCTGCTGCTGGGGGTGATAGAATGGGGCGTGTCCCCCCTTTATTGGCACATCTTCCCAAAGGAACGGCTGGATGTGCCTTGAAGCCAATCGAGAGGTTTCAAGACAGTTATCTACATGTGGGGGGCTTATTTTACACTTTAAACGCTTTGTACCACATTTCATTCATGCAGTACTGTATATGTTACTATGATATTGGTGTGCACTGCGAGTAGGATAAAGCATGTATTCTAAAATTGTGATTTAGGGCTCTATTTTCTCTGTCGTGTAGGATGTCTGGCTTCATCCTTGGGCGCAATGCCATCTTCAGTAGGGTTGTAAGGAATAGATGTGCAGAAAAATGGATAACTGAAACTGTCAATCTACGTAGAAGATTTTCATTACCAACACCCAGTATAATAGACATGCTTGCCTATGGCGCAAACCATCCGGTACATCATATGAACAAATCAGATAAGAGCTACCGGTACAGAATCAATATTTATCCCGAACAGATAACCACTTTGGTAACCACATCAAAACGAATCCGCACTGTCATCATCGTCGTTGATGAACTTGCCAGTACCGGGGTTGATGGCCGATAAGAACAGCAGCATTATCCCCAGAATCACCAGAGGCTCTATTTCCGAAACAGGAACACCCGTTTCTATATTGAGTTGCGCCAGCGCGCCTTTCCCTGTAATCACCTCTCCGATTAGGGATGCGGCAAACCCTAACTGGGCTACACGGCCCACAAAAAGCTCGTTTGACTTGGTGAACCCGAGCACGGGACCTGGTGGTGCGGAGTGGTGGGGGAGGGTGCTATGGGTAAAAAGATGGGAGGTTGATCAGGGAAGGAGGCATCATAGCCCACCCGAGCAACAAAGGTTACAGAATGGGAGTGGGGTGGGATGGGGTGGGAGTGTTGTGGGAAAGGGGTGGGAGTGTTGTGGGAATGGATTGGGAGTGGAAATCCTCACAGGCGCTCTTGCTGCATTTTCCTACCACACTTTTCGAACGACACCCCCTCCCTCTTCCCTATCTTTTCCCCACTCCTTTCCCCATTCCCTACCGTTTCCCTTTCCCCCTACCCATCTCCCACCTGACCGCACCACCCTTCCCCACCACCCACCATTTTCCACCAATCCCAGAGCGCCCTTCCACCCGGCATTAGCGGGCGGCACGGGCGGCTTGACCGGCTCCAGGACAAACTTCCCGCGGTCCCCCAGTGCGCCGACCGCGCCGAGCATGTTGAATAGGACAAAGAAGAGCAGCAGCGGCTCGGCTTCATACACTGGGATCCCCGTCTCGAGATTCAGCTGTGCCAGAATGCCCTGCCCGGTTACCGCCTCCCCCAAAAGAGACGCCTGGTGGGTGGGAGAGGAGGGGAGAGAGTGGAGGGAGCGGCAAGGGGGTGGGGGGAGGGGGAAGTGAGGCTGCTATCGAGGATGGTTGAGGGGCAGAGATATGGATTGTAATGGGTTGCATTGAGAAGCATGTGGTAATAGGTTAGGTTGGAAGGGGTTAGAAAAGCGAGGGAGGGGGGAGGGAAGGGGAAGGGGAGAGGAGCAGTCAAGAGCTTACGAGGAGGGATTGTGAAGAGCGGTGCCAGCACCACTACTCACACCAAATTCCAGAGTATGTTTCTTACTTAGGCGCGGCAGTCGTCAATCACGGCGAATCCTTGCATCATTACTCACCGGAATTCCCACCGTCTGTTCTTGAGCTGTACCAAAAACAGAATCCCGTCGTTGCCACTTGCCGAGATCACAACAGAGTTCCGTCCTTGCTACTCACCGCGAATCCAAGCATCGCGACGCGGCCCACGAACAACTCGTTCTGCTTCGTGAAGCCGAACCCGCCCCACGATCCTGTCGGCGCTGCCGCCGCTCCCGGCGCCGCATCCTGCGGTGGCGAAAGCGGATCGAGGGGTCACCGAGAGGAGAGAGGGAACGGGAGAAGGGAGAGGGCGACTTTTGAGACGTCTCAAAAGAACGGGTGTTTTTTGAGAATTCTCAACGCGTGTCTTTTGAGAATTCTCAAAAACACTTTTGAGACGTCTCAAAAGAACGGGAGAAGGGAGAGGGCGCGGCAGAGCGAGGATGAGCGAGAAAGGGCGATGCGAGAAACTGATGGGCAGAGCGGGAATTGTAAGGTAGAGATGTGGGGCGGCGGATGGAGTTCATCAAGAGCTGGGTCTGCTGCGCGCTCGCTTTTGTACGCCGCGTGCGCGCATTTAACGCTCGTTAATTTCCCCACGGTGCATTGCGCATGGCACATGGCGCATGGCGCATGGCGCGCGGCGCAATGTGTTATCCGGTGTGCTGAGCATGTTGACTGGAAACAATAGGGTGTAAGGGTTATCCGTCGAGGAAGCACAAGAAGAGCATAAAGCACACGTGCACCACAGGACCGCACCTCGCAACTCACAATTACTTTCAGATCGCTTTTAGCTGTCTCTGCGGACGAGGGCGACACGGGCGACGAGGCGGAGTCCTGCCGGCTATCGGCTCGCGTCGCGTGAATCTGCCATTGCCGCGACCGCTTGGATGCCGCCCTTTCAGGCGCCGCCAATTGCGCGAGGCTATGGGAATGCACGCGGCAGAAGGAAATTCGAGACGCTGCTACTGGCACGGCTCGAGTGAGAACTGCTCGACTTATAGAGGACGAAGTCGCCATGTGAAACACGAGGCAGCTGTCTACTGATTTTATAATGTCCCTAAAGTACTGGTGCTCCTAACTCCTCGCGTGTGGGAAAACGGCGCAGGCACAAATGTCTAACTAGAAGGGACGACGTTAAGTGGCTTGCAGCTGTCGCTATATAGGAACCATGAATATCACAGATGTCGCAGGTGATATGTATGGATTAGGGAAGCAGAGATTCACATCACAGTTTCATATTCAGTTCCGAGTTTCAAGAAAAATCTTCTGGCCTGGCATGCGTGCGACCTCGGGGGGGCTGAGTTCCGGAAATTTCAGCTTCACATCACCGTCGAAATTGGTGGCCACGTAGATTCGGTTCGGTTAACGTCCCATAGGTTGGGCTCGTCCAGCGTCGCACGCACGACTTCAGTTTGAGCTCTGAAATGTCCTTGGTGTGCCCGGGGTGAGTTAGAAAACCAATTGTAGGAAAAACAAAATCGTGTATCTGCTGCTTTTGGCCCATACAATATTTTTTTCGCCCTTGACAGCACTAAAATATGACCGAACTGAAACATGACGAACGCTTGCGAGGACAAACGACGGTAATGCGAGAAAGTTATCGTGCGCCAGCGCACATGGAGATGGTGAAGTGGAGTGGCGTGTGATATACTGGCACGTGTCTTATATGAAGGGCAACAGAAACGATGCCCTCCGAGTGGTTCGGAATCCGCCAGGTCCGATGACATGGCAATCTCAGATGTTGTCACGTGGAGACCATTTACACCGCAGATCCTTGTTTCGTTCAATTCGAAGTTAGTGCCCAGCTGTCCCATTAGTTTGGCATGTTACTGTTCTGCGATACATTAAAGTCAAGTGCAATATATTGAAGGATGCAATTGCACTATGATTGTATATTTATGCACAGTCGTAACTGAAAATGTATTGTACATGAAACACACAGTGTTCACCTGCAAACTCCAAAGGGACTTCGTGTACGGAGGATATATGACCTTCAATCTTGACATCTTGCTGACAATCTGATGACTAGGAGCTGACATCACTGCTCGACTCGCAGCCCTATGACTGGATGTCCAGCTGCAGCCTATGTCAGCATTCATCTCAATTGGTCAATACGATGCGTGTCCACGGAGGTCCGCTTTCTCATTGGTGCCCAGTGCTCCACTGTTTCGCGAATGAGGTTCCTTGTGTAACAAGGAAGTACGTGGGGCAATGTGAGCGGCCGAGCCGAACCGAACCGAACCTCCTAGAGTCCACGCGAGTCCACGCGAAAATACTCGAGCACACAACCATTGTGCTACTAACGAGCAAACATGCTGTCTCTACACCGTTAAATAAACCTCCGTAACGTGTAATACACCTGTGTTCCTCCCTCCTGACCTCCTTCCTCCTCCTCCTGTCCCATCCCATGCCTATCCCCTCCACCCGCCAAGCAGCCCATCCCATCTCTTCCCTTGGCACCATTTTTACCGCATTGTTGATTTCCCTTCCCAGCAATACGGCACCTGTGCTCTGGCCACACACACGCCACGTAACACCTTGCCCTTGCAGCCTCAAGGGGGGCCTCTTTCCTTTGCGCCGCGGTTCTGCTCGCAATGGCGGTTTCTATTCACGCATCTTTGACCGCCCGCCTTCCGCTCGTCTTGAGTCCTGTCACCAAGCCAATCACATGCTCCCACGTAAGACCGTCAGGTGTTTCGCAATCTTCGCCCGTTAGCCTGAAAGTGACGCCGCGCACTAGTGTGGCGGCCAGCGCACGGGCGGCTCGGGTTTTCCGAATCCGAAGCAGCGCGCAGAGTGGAGAGCAGGAAGCGGCGGAATCCGCGGTGGCGGCGCCGGCAGGGGAGCGCCCGATGCCCAATTTCACTTGTGAGTATGCGCCCGGAGCCCATGCGCGTGGAGACTTTCTGCGGATTCTCTTTTCATCCTTTCTCTTCGTCGTCTTTCCTACGCCGTTACTTCGCCGTTACTTCCGCATTGTCCTACGCTCCTGCCATCCGCACACGTTGTCGCGCGTCTTACAAGCACAATCCTTTCTCGTCACACGTTTCTTACCACTTGCCTCGTCTCTTATGTTGTTTTCCCGCCCTTTGCTCTCTCCCCCCTCGCTCTCCGCGTATGAAGATTGGTTTTGAGACGTCTCAAAACCAATCTTACCACTTGCCTCATCTCCTTTGTTGTTTTCCCGCCCTTTGCTCTCGCCCCACTCGCTCTCCGCTCGTGCCTTTCGTCCCCTTGGGCGGCGCGTCGTGGCACCCATCCGTCGCAGGGACTCCGAGCCCTGCGTCGCAGAGTTTTCGCAATGAGAGTCGCACGTCGCCCACGGGGCTCGTTCCGTTCAACTCCGGCGCCGCCGGTCGCTCGCTGTCGCTGCAGAGCATTAGCAAAGTACGTGCGCGCGTTGGCCTTGCTTTGAGACGACGTTTAAGCGTTTTTCGCAATTACGTCGCTGTCGCTTCAGAACGTTAGTAAGGTGCACGCGTTGGGCTGGCCTCGCAACGGCGAGGTCGGAAATTGCAGACCGAAAATCGTCTCTTTTCCTTTCAATATTGTTATTTTTATCATTATATTTCGTTGTGCAGGAGGAGGCGTTGGGCGTGGTGATTAGCGCCGCGATGGGCACGGGGTGGAAGACCATGACGGGACTGGAAGGCCCGTCCGCGCCCGTTGACCCCGTTGACTCCGTTGACTCGCTCGGCATGCCCATCATCTCGCCCGTGTCGCCGCGGCGCACGGCGCGCGTCGACTTCACGTGCAACAAGTGCGGCAGCCGCACCAGGCGCGCCATCAATCCGCACGCGTACCGAGAAGGAACCGTCTTCGTGCAGTGCCAGGGCTGCCAGGTGTTTCACAAGCTTGTGGATCATCTGAACCTCTTTCACGAGTTTAGAGGGCCTGTCTTCCACGCTGCAGACGCGGGCCAGCATGGCTTTGCCGAGCACCGCTCCGTGGACGTTCTTGGGGTGGATGGCGATGGTGGTGCTGGTGACGGCAGCTCGCGTTTCGACTTTCCTCGCTTCTGAGGGTGAGAGTGCTTGTTGCTTTGCACAGCATCTCTCTGTTCGCACGTGGGTTTGTGCAGCGTGGCCGTTTCCGGGCTTGATGCATGGAGGGATGGTAGTGGTGTGGTGGTTGTGCTCCTGCCAAGGCTCATGGCTGCTGCTCACGCCTTGGCAGGAGTGGCAACAGCACCATGCTTTTGAGGGTGAGTGCTTGCGGCGTTTTCGTTTTGAGACGTCTCAAAACTCGAGTGCGGCGTGGTTGTCTTTGAAGAATTCTCCAGAGAATATATCCCGAAAGTTACCCTTGTGAGCATGCTCGCTGGAAGAGGGCGAGATCGTTTCCTGGTTGCCGGCGTTGCCTGGTGCGATTTTTTAGGCGCCTCAAAAATCTGGCTGCCAGCGTTACCTGGTGCGTGCTGGTTGAAGTGCCTGCCTATGTGGCAATGTTGACGTTGAGGCTTGTGCTTCGTGCTGTGTACCATTTCGTGCTTTGAGGCTGATGTGTGCTCGTTGTTACCATCTTGCGCTTCGAGGCACCTCAACTCCCGGGGTCCATAACTATGTTTCAATTTCATCCAACCCATGTTTCAATTTCATCCAACCCATGTTTCAATTTCTGGAATCCATAACCATGTTTCAACTTCTGAGGTGTCTCAAAAGTTGCTTCGAGACACCTCAACTCCCGGACTCCATGACCGCGTTTCAACACTTCACTACTCCCCCTTGACCTCCTCTTACCCAACCCTCCCTCCCTCCCCCTCTCCTCTCATCATCCTTATCCTTCACAGGATATGCGGAGTGAATTATGGCCATACATGGGACGTGTAGTTGCATCCTGTCCTCTCAACCGACCTGCACCCTCTCCAACACCTGGTTTCCGCTTTCTCGGCCTTCCGCATGGCGTTCTCGCCAACGGTCTTCACTCAGCTCAGCCGTGGTTTAGCTGTGTACATATTGCACATTCTGTATCTTGCACAGATGCGCACACACGCACGCACACACACACTTGCACATTTGCACACACTTGCGCATACTCGCACCTGCACATATGCACACTTGCATGCTTGCACATAATGCACATATGCAGAGGCACGGGCTTGTTCTTGTGTTACACACACACACATGCACATGCTGCATATTCACTCACCTACACTAGCATGCATGTGCACACGTATGGACTCGCACACATGGGCACACACGCACACATACATACATGCACGTGCCCACACTTGGACGGATCCACATGCATGCGCACGCACACACTTAAGCGCACACATGCATGCATGCCAGTACCAGGCACCCTTGCACGTGGCATTTGGTACCGGTATGTGCCGTTGGGTATGTGCTGTTGCATGTGGTGTTGGGTGTGTGGCGTTCGACATGTGGTGTTTGGTACGCTGCAGTGGGCATGAGCGATGGTGGTTACATGCATTGTTTGTCGGCCATGCATGCAGCAGAAACAGGCGATAAGGTGGCTAGGCTACCTAGTATTTTGGCAAGCAGCTGGGGGGCTGGACAGACAGTAGTTCTGAGAAAGGGGATGGTTTCGCTTTAGATGGTTGTTTTGAAAGTGGTCCGTGTGGAGATGGTTGGTGATACCATGTGTTGTTGGCTGGGTGCAGTGGGATTCGGAGCGTTTCTGAGGCGTGTTGCTGTTGAGTTGAGACATGGTTGTGAGTTACGCTTGTTTTGTTTGAGACTTGCAACGAATTTAATGGCCAATCTGGAGGTTCCTGAGATAAAATACGGTTCCAGAATTGCCTTGTTGCTAAGACCTGAAGCAGTTGTGAATGAAGGGAGTCCACAATAATGCATCACAAGTCCTACTCATCATCAAATGGGGATGTGATGTGCAGCCCAGTGGTGGTGCATGCAATTTTCTTTTGCTGCAGTGATGTGAAACCCTGCTGCAATTGTTGCAAGTTGGTTGCAAATACTCTGGTGCGCTTTGCATAACGCTTGCTGCACCCACCCTTGCATGCTGAGCTGAGTATATTACCGTATAAAGTATTATCATATTGCACATACCGTATGTTGCAAGCATACACTATTGTGCCTACAGCTGCTACACAAAAGGAAAGTGGGCAGGTGAGTTGAGACAGTTCGGCGTGTTAGACAAGGCAAAGACACGGAATATGCAAGAAAAAACATCATCTGCTCTGCACCCGTAAAGAAGGAAAGCTATTTTTGGTTCCTGAAACGAGACGAACGCGCCAGATAGACAGAAGGAATAGTCTCACTAGCAGATAGAGATGGGGGAATAGGGAGGAAGCACACAGCACACGAATGCGGCCGAAGGCCGAATAGCCTCAATTGTATCTTTAGTTGAGCGTTTTGGCGAGGCTAACAAGGTCGGGTCGTTCCAAGAGGCCTGTGGTGTCGCCTCCGTGCTCTCGAATGTACCGTTTGAGCTCGGACACTGACATGCTGTCGAATGCATGCTCGGGCCCACTGCCTTCTTTCCGCAGTGATGGGTTGGCGGAGGAGGTTGGTTTCGGGGACGAGGTGGGTTTTGGGGACGAGGTGGGTTTGGGTGAGGAGGAGGTTGGTTTGGGAGAGGAGGTGGGTTTTGGGGAGGGGTCTTTGGAAGACTTGGGGGTAGATCTGGAATGAGAGGAGGACTTGGGTGATTTCTGGAGGGGACAGGGGAGGGTGTGAGGGAGGAAGAGGAAGGGGAAAAGGAAGCGGAAGAGGAGGGAGATGATTTGGAAGGGAGGTGATTGCAGGTAATTGTAAGTGCCAGTGGGCAGTGGTCAGTCACATCACACATAACGACATTGTGCTATAATGAGCATGTCATTCCAATAAGCATTCACTCACATGGGAATCAGCAGTGGCACCAGGCGAGGGGCCATGGGGCATAGGGGTTGAACGCTGCACCAGAGGCGCCTAGGTGACTGTTGAGTCGACCCAAGAGTCACCTCAGATTCAGTACATCACTCACATGGGAATCAGCAGTGGCACCAGGCGGCCATGGGGCATAGGGGTTGAACGCTGCACCATTCTTTGCGGATGAGCCCAGCTTATCCCACTCCGGTGCTACTGGGTGTATCTGATGTGTGGCAGGGGAGAGAGGGCATGACAGGGGGAGGCAGGACGGGGAGAGGTGGGCAGAGGAGGAGAGACAGCGCATAGGGATTGAACATTGCATCAGCTTTTGAAGATGGCCCCATCTTGTCCCACTGCGGTGCTACCGGGTGTATCTGATGTGCGATAAGGGAGAGGGGATGACAGGGGGAGGCAGGACGGGGAGAGGTGGGCAGAGGGGGAAAAACAGGGCATAGAGATTGAACATTGCACCCGCCGTTAAGGATGAGCCCAGCTTATCCCACTGCGGTGCTACTGGGTGTATCTGATGTGTGGCGGGGCGAGAGAGGATGACAGGGGGAGGCAGGAAGGGGAGAGGTGGGCAGAGGGGGAGAGACAGGGGATGACCCAGCTTATCCCACTCCGGTGCTACTGTGTATATCTGATGCGTGGCAGCGCGAAGACGCGGGAAAGAGGGGGAAGTACAGGGGGAGAGACAGAGGACACAGTGGGGGGATGGGGGGAAGAGACTTGGGAAAACGTGGAGGAGGAGGAGGAATGGTAACACATTGGCAGGCAGGCAGCAGAATAATGAGCCACCACTTTTGTGATTTCATACACACAGAGTTTGGTATACAGACTGACGGGAGAGGGCAGGCGAAACAGACAGAAAGAAAGGCAGGTTGACAGAAAGAAACGGATGTGAGCTACAGCAAGCGCCACACCAAGCCTGCGTGTGTGCCCATACCAAAGGCGGGGGTTGGGGAGCAGCAACAGCAACTGTCGTAGCCTTAGAGCCCGTCACACCATTGGCTGTGGTGCTGCTGCCAGCGCCACCTGCTCCTGCTTTCTCGGATCCTGCAGAACTCTCTGCGGCTGTACCATCAGCAGTAGCGCCTGCCGCAGCTTTCTCCTTGTCCACTTTCTCTTTCTCCTTTGCTGCTTTCTCCTTTGCCATGTGCATTGCCTTGCTCTGTGCAGCCGCAGAGGGGAGGGAGAAGAGAAACCAATACATCTTTGGGGTAAGGAAGGAAATAAGGAGCACTGTGAAAGAAGGGAACGAGCAGAGCGGAGGAGCCTGGATAGCGGCGGTAAACCGAAGGAGTGACGGGGGATGGCAGTGCGAGAAGTGAGTAGCAGAGTGGAAATAATTTGCGAGGCAACTTCAGAGAAATATAAACTGAAGGAATGAGAGCGAATAGCAGAGGTGAGGAAGCAGAAGTCATGGCATGGCACCAGATTAGAATGAGAGAGGCATGCACAGAACTGGTGAGAAGCGGGGCGTATCCTGTGCCTCAAAAGCCAGAGCACTCAGAACAAACTAGCAGCACACTAGCAGCACACTAGCAGCACACTCGCAGCACACTCGCAGCACTCCCCGCACTTAAAAGGCGAGAGAGTACGTGCCTGAAAAATGGCCCCCAGTTGCTTGAGTGCGTGTGCGCGTGCCTCCAGGGTGGTCCGCGAAACATCCGCCTCTGTGAGAACCTGTGGGGTGCGGCAAGGAGGGGAGAGGGTGAGGCAAGTGGGGAAAGTGAGGCGAGAGGGGAGAAAGTGAGGCGAGGGGTGGGAAGGGAGGGGAGGGTGGGAAGGGAGGCGAGGGCGGCAAGAGAGGTATCCCACTTCGCCCCTGGTCTCCCATTAGCGACGCACCTGGTGGCAGACAGTGGAGAGCGTAGCTTCAATGTCGAGCACGTGGAGGTGCCAGAGTGACTCGAGCAGCGACCAACACACCCGCACACATGCACCCCACTCATTTCCCCCTGTTCCCCCCCCCACACACACGCACCTGGTGGCAGACAGTGGAGAGCGTGGCTTCGATGTCCAGCACGTTGAGACGCCACAGCGACTCGAGCAGCGTCTGCTGCTTGCTCTCGAGGAAGGACACGAGGGCTGCCTCGTCCATGTCACTCTCCTCCACGTGCCGCCTCATGTCCATCTGCATCTGCACCAGACTCACCACTCCTGTCCGGTGGACGGGGGGAGGGGTAAGAAGGAAGGGGAGGAGTGGGGAGCAAGAGGGGGGTACGTGGTGAGCATCTGCACCAGACTCACCACTCCTGTCCGGTGGACGGGGGGAGGGGTAAGAAGGAAGGGGAGGAGTGGGGAGCAAGAGGGGGGTACGTGGTGAGCATCTGCACCAGACTCACCACTCCTGGGTGAGTTTCGTGGGTTGCAACAGGCCGGGAAAAGGCGGATGGAGAGAGTAAGAAGCGCAGGGGGGGTGGGGGGAGAGATTGGGAAGTAAGAGGGGGAGTATGGGGTGCGGGAGTAAGGGGAGGGTAGTAAGGTGGGAGAGTAACGCAGGGACGAATCGAGGGGAAGTTGAATTTGTATTCACGCACTAACAGCAGCACATGCTCAGAACAGAACCATCGTTCAAACCACATGCATGAAACCATGGCGCGGCACATACATACCCACCCACGCATGCACCACACACCACATGCGCCCACCCAAGGCAGCAGAATCACCCATCCACGGCAGCAATGCAGTGCAAAGCCACATGCACGTACCCATTGCAGCAGACCACTGTGTTTGGATGCGTCTTCCCCGCTCTCGGAACCACTCGCCCACATACGGCATGCCCAGGTACATGATGCTCTTGCCCTGCTCCTTGGCCGCACTGCGCTCGTACACGTACCCTATGCTCTCCAGCATGTGCTCTCCAAAGGCTGGGAGAATGGGGGACACACGTGGTGGGGGGGGACGGAAGAGGAATGGATCGTATATGACTGCCCTGCTGCTGCCAGGGCTTGCGCTGCGCCCTGCTCCTTGATGCGCTGTGCTCGTACACGTACCCTATGCTCTCCAGCATGTGCTCTCCAAAGGCTGTTTGGGGATGGGGTTGAAAACAGAAGGGGGGAAAAGAATAAGTGAAGAAAAAATGGAAAAAAAAAAAAAAAAAAAAACAACAACATGGCTGCTGCCAGCCATCGTGCCCTCTTTCTTGGCCACACTACGCTACCCACGAACCACACTCGCCACACCCACCACGCGAACATATTACAACCGCACCCAACCCCTCCCTACAAGCGTGGCTCAGCTCCTCCGCCTCCTCGTGTGCCCAGCGCATGATCGCATGCCTGCCTTGGTCCCACACGCTCACTGACATCTCCTTCACCCTGCCCAACCCTCCCATCCCCTCCCTACCAGCGTGGCTCAGCTCCTCTGCCTCCTCAAGCGCCCAGCGCATGAACGCATGCCTGCCTTGATCCCACACGCCCACTAACACACATCCATCACCCTGCCCGTCCCTCCCCCTTTCCCCTCATCCCCTCCCTACCCGCATGGCTCAGCTACTCCGCCTCCTTGTGCGCCCAGCGCATGAACGCATGCCTGGTCCCCACAGAAAAACCTAACAACCGCACTGAACCCCTCCCTACCAGCGTGGCTCAGCTCCTCTGCCTCCTCGTGCGCCCAGCGCATGAATGCATGCCGGCCGCCGTCCAGGCCCTGGTTGGCCGAGGGTGACGCGTACACGTCCAGGCGGCTCTTGAGCTTCACCGCCAGCTCCTGCACTCGCTCCTCCTGTGCCGCCTGTGGAAAGACGGATGAAGAGAGAGAATAAATCGGCGTGGACGAAAATGCAAGTGGGATTTGGATTCCTGCACATTCAGGCGGCTCTTCAGCGCCACCCCCAGGTCCTGCACCCGCTCCTCCTGTACCGCCTGTGGAATGAAGGAAAAGGAGGGAGGAAGGGGGAAGGGGGTAGGGCAGGTGTGATGCAGTGGGAGAAAAAGGGGGCCTGTGGGCGTTACACGTCCAGGCGGCTCTTCAGCTTCACCGCCAGCTCCTGCACCCGCTCCTCCTGTGCCGCCTGTGGGAAAGAGAGGGAGGAGGACGCGCGGGAGGGAGGAAGATGAATTCCAATGGAATGGCGAAATGGGGAATTGGAATGGCATACACATTCAGGCGGCTCTTCAGCTTCACCGCCAGCTCTTGCACCCGCTCCTCCTGTGCCGCCTGTGGAATGAAATCGCATCACACCACCTCCAGTCGCATCAAATCGCATCATTGTTATCGTAAGCTTGGCCTGAATCGCCATCGCGTCCACCCCGTCCCCAGCCCCCCCGGGAGTCGCAGCAGCAGTGGAAGTCGCGTCTTTGGCAATAGACGGGCGGGCCCACAGGGGCTGCAGCATTGAAGCACCACCACCAAACCATCCAAAACCGCGTCAAACCACCCCAAACCACCCATCATCATACCGTAAGCTTGGCCTGAATCGCCATCGCGTCCACCCCGTCCCCAGGCCCCCCGGGAGTCGCAGCAGCACTGGAAGCCGCGTCCTTGGCAATAGACGGGCCGGCAGGGGTTGAGGCGTTGGTGACGGAGTCGACAGCGAGGGAGGCGAGGGTGGCCATGGCGAGCTGCCCCACATAGTCCTCAAAGGCCTCGCTGCCAAATAGCATCCCAAACAGCGCTGCTGGATCCACCATCGCCTCCCTGTGGGCCGGACAGGGGGGGTGGGTGGGGGGTGGGGGAGTACAACGGTGGGTGGGGAACGGAGGGGGTGGGAGGGATTGGGAGGGGGTGGGAGGGATTGAGAGGGAGTGAGAGGGAGTGGGTCAAGGCCTCGGGAATGCGTTTGGAACAAGGGGAGGGGGGGAGATAAGTGGAGGTGGAAGCGGTGAGGCTAGCAATGCCAGGTGGATGCATAGGGAGAGGGGATATGACAGTGGGAGTGAGCAAGAGGAGGGGAGAGTGGGGAGGGACGAGGGGAGGGAGATGGGACGGACAGAAAAGGCATGCAGACACAAGTAGCAGAACAGAACACACACACACACACACACACACACACACACACACACACACACACACACACACACACACACACACACACAAGCAGATACAAGACGCATCTGTGAATTTGCCAGCAGCAATAACATTGCTAGTGCTGCCTACTGTAACGAAACAAGCACCTTCTGAAAATTCGCACCTGGAGATGCCAGATTTCCCAGCGGATTCGTAGCGCTGCCTCTGCATTTCGTCGCTGAGCACCTGGTACGCCTCGCCCAGCGGCAAACAAATGGTTCATGCGCACTCACAAGTGAACCCCTTCCCGCACCCACCCCACAAAACAACATAACAAAACGCACCTGGAGATGCCTGATTTCCCAGCAGCGTCGTAGCGCTGCCTCTGCATCTCGTCGCTGAGCACCTGGTACGCCTCGCCCAGTGCTTGGAACTTGGCTGCTGCATCGGGGTCATTGGGGTTCTTGTCCGGATGCACCTTGCGCGCCTGAGGAAAGGGGGGTTGGGGGGGGTGAGGGGGGGGAAGGGGAGGGAAAGGGAAGGAAAGGGTGGGGGAACAAGAGTAGACGCGTCAGGAAAAACAATGCCCAGGGCCTGGAACTTGGCTACTGCGTCGCCAGGATCGTTGGGGTCCTTGTCCGGATGCACATTGCGCGCCTGGTGGGGGTGGATGGATGGATGGATGGATGGATGGATGGATGGATGGATGGATGGATGGATGGATGGATGGATGGATGGATGGATGGATGGATGGATGGATGGATGGATGGATGGATGGATGGATGGATGGATGGATGGATGGATGGATGGATGGATGGATGGATGGATGGATGGATGGATGGATGGAGGGAGGGAGGGAGGGAGGGAGGGAGGGAGGGAGGGAGGGAGGGAGGGAGGGAGGGAGGGAGGGAGGGAGGGAGGGAGGGAGGGAGGGAGGGAGGGAGGGAGGGAGGGAGGGAGGGAGGGAGGGAGGGAGGGAGGGAGGGAGGGAGGGAGGGAGGGAGGGAGGGAGGGAGGGAGGGAGGGAGGGAGGGGAGGGATTCAATGCGGACGGATGTATAGAAAGCGTAGACATGGGCAGGGGGCATGCATCCGTGCACAAATGCACCCATGCATCCATGCGCATGCACGCGTGAACACATGCACACATGTACGCATGCACACATGTACGCATGCACCCATGCACCCACACGCCCATGCACTCATGCACTGGTAAAATGTCAAACACGATAACAATGGAGAAGAGTGGCAGATTCCAATTCCACGTCCCGAATTTCTCAATGCCAAAAGAAAGAAAGAAAATCAAACAAACAAACCCCCATTTCCACTTTCCCTCTTCCTCCCCCTCCCTCCCCGCCCCTCTCCCAAGCACCTGATTGTAGTAGGCCTTCTTGATCTCGTTCGCGTTTGCTGTGGGAGCCACCCCCAGCAAATCGTAATACTCCATTTCCCGCACCATTTTGGCCGCTGCCCTGATCTACCGCGGTGAAGGAACGGCCGCGACGGTAGCGGAACGGACGGAAACGGAACGGCTAGAAGGGAGCGGCGGAAAGGTAGCAGCTGAAAGGTACTGGCTGAGATACAGTCGCTGAAATGGAACGGCAAGAGGAGAGCGGATGGAAGGAAACGGCTGACAATGTAACCGTCGGTAACGAGACCTTTGCGAAATTGGATAAGCCTTATAGCGCGGATGCGCCTGACAAGTTTTTGCCGTCTACCCCCAGCTCTCTGTTTGTCTCTAAGCGAAAAATCGTCAAGTTATCCAGCCAATTTTCTCCTGAGAAGTGAGTGGCTGCTACCTCCTAATTTCTTCCTGATTTTCTTCCCGATTCTCAATCTGCTCTTGCATCTGCTTGTTGCTTAGCACTTCGCTTGCTGCTTACTGCTCGTCCCGTGTCACCGTCAAATTGCGGCTCTTCTTGCCGCGAGATCCTCAGCCGTCCAACCTAATGTAGTCCAGATTCAGATTCAAAATCTGAAATATCTTTGGGTTCTCCGAAGCGATATTATAACATGTAACAATCGAGTTAAGCCGTCTGATCTGCAGGCGTTTCTGAAGAATTAAACACCAGTTCACGTGCTGTCAGCAAGATGCGACTAATGAGTACGGTCGGTTGACTATCGGTGGGACTGCGATGCACAGGCACAATCAACCAGCCATGCCACAACTGAATTGAATGCAGAGAGCCGTTCGATTTGCGGAGCAAGGCGGACAGGATTTCCCTGCGAGGCGGAGCAGGCATGGGTGGTGCTGGCTGAATGCGAAGCATAACGGAAGGGTGTAGCAGGGACGGGGGGAATGTACCGTCCCGACGGCGCGATGACTTTCAAGGACAGCTTCCAGAAACTGAAAGCATCCCACAACTAGCAGATACCGGTTATGAATGAACTTGCAGAGTGGGCAGAATATCGAATAACGAGAATGAGAATCAGAATCACGATACAATGGAAGTGACGAGGCCTAACTAGGGGAAGTCCTAGCTAGGCGGGGAGATTGGGTGAGGATGGCTCGGTGATGGTTGCGATTGGTGCGGAGGCGACTCGGGAGTGGTTCGGTGCGACGAATTAGGAAGAACAGGTTCGTCGCGTGACCCTCGGGAGGACCTTGCTAACGAGTGCTTCAGTAAGGACTTTGTAAATCCTTACATACCGGTAGGTAATATCTGCTAACGATTCTACAACATATTTGCCAACACTGAATAAGGATTCTTCTACTCCAGTCTTCCAGTTGAGGCCATACCAATTTTTATCTTGCAAAGCGAAGCCTTTAAAAAACGGGGCAAATACCACACAAATTATGTAATACATTAGTACGTTACGTACTATTGGGAGTACCCTTCCAGCTGCTTGTGAGGCATGCTAAGCGTAGACAAAGAGCCAGAGAAGGCCTTTCACAAACTGTACAATCTCTGTCCCTCCCAGCTTTGAAGAACCATACAACCGATCCACGAAAACGATTGGCACCTGAAATAGGAAGGGCAAGATACGGTCGCCTTATCAAAAGTGCAGCGAATACAAAATATGCAAAAGCATCACATCATATCACCCACCAAAGAACCCCCCTCCCCCTCCCTATCCCCCCCTCGCCTTACCACCACACCCACCCAAACCACTCCCACACCGCACCCCTCTCACCTCCTCAATAACCAAACTGGCCCGACTCGCCCGGACAATCATCTCCATCTGGAACACATAGCCCTTGGACACCACCACATCCATCAGATTCTCCAAAATCTCCTTGCGATACAGCCGGAACGAGCCCGTGAGGTCGGACACGCGCGGCCAGAGCAGCGTGTGCGTGAGCACATTGGCTCCCCGGCTGGTCATCTTGCGCTTGAAGTCCCACCCCACGACGCCTCCCCCCGGGGAGTAGCGTGACCCAGTGACTATGTCAGCGTCTGTCTCCTGCTGCTTGCTGGAGCAGGTGGAGAAGGGGAGAATGGAAGAGAGGAAAGCGAGAGGAGGCATGGATAGGCGAAGGGGAGAGGAGGAACAGCAAGAGAAGATGGGTGCAGAAACAGGGGAAGGGGAAACGACCGTGGCAGCATACAGGTGGAACACTTTCCAAAACACGGCAGGGAGTAGGTAGCTGGTCAAGGAAGGAGGATAAAACAATCAGATGTCTACCACTTGTCTTACAGAGAGGACTCAACTGGCACTCTGCTGGCTTACCGAATGAACTGGGGGATGTACTTTGGCTGATACACCAATTCCACGTGTCAGGTTCGTTGTTGCCCATCCAGTCAGTCCCACCACCAACACCACCGAGATGAGCGGTTCCAGAGGAACACACGGGGCGCATGAGATGGCGCGTAGTGCATGCGCATAGGGGTGACCAAACAAGCACCGTTGGACGAAGCAGTCGAGAGGCCTCAGAGAAAAGCATGGAGAAAAGCAAAGAGCTTGGAAGTGCCAGGAGGGAGGTGCATGGACGCGCATGAACAGTATGATTCAAGACCTTACAGACAGGACACGGCTGAGCAACACTTGTGCGTGCATCACTAGAAAGCATAACAGTCTGTGCAAACGCTCCTGTCAGACATCTAAAAAGTCTGTGCCACCAGTGCCCCCCACCCACCATGGCTCACGTGGTGTGACAGGTCTGCGTTTATTAGGAACACAAAGTCGATTGATATATCCTAAAAACCTGTGTCCAGTCCAGTGCCACCCACCCATTGTTCATGACTCACGTGGTGCGATAAGTCAGCGTCAATGATAAACACGAACTCCCCCCGCGACTTTTGAGGCGCCTCAAAAGGCAAGTGCCAGCCCCCCCATTATGACTTACGTGGTGCGATAGGTCCGCGTCCATGATAAACACGAACTCCCCCCGCGCATGCTGCAGCCCAAATACGTATGCCGTGCCTGGTGATGTGCACAGGGCGGTGGGGTTTGAGGAGACGGGGGGGGGTGGGAAGGAAGCGGTTAGAAATGATGAACACACCTTCTGCGCATGCTGCAGCCCAAACATGTACGCTGTGCCTGGTGGTGGTCCACAGGAAGGTGGTGTCAGGGAGAGGGAGGGGTGGCAGTGCGGTGAGCAAAGAGGGAACAGTGGGATGATGAGCAGCGCTTTATTTAAGAGAGAATATGTTTTGGATGATGTGGGAAAAAGTAACGGAGAAGAGGGATGGTGAGATCGCAGGGATGGTGAAATTGAAAGGATGGTGAAATTGGATGGATGGTAGAATTGGGGGCACGGTCAGATGGGAGGGAAGGTAAAATGGGGGATCATAGGAGTCGCACGGGTTTCAGGGAGCAGGCGCATGAGGAGGCAAAATGGGGGATCATAGGACGGGCTTACCTAGTCCTAGCTTGCCAGGCCTTGGCCGAAGAAGCTGTGAGACACACACATGCATTGATGTGCACACACACAGACACACAGACACCCACACACACATAGACACACACACACCCACACACACAGAGACACACATACACCCACACACACACACACACACACAGACACACATACACCCACACACACACGCACGCATGCACACACGCACACACACACAAATACAGAGTGAGAGAGCAAATAGAGATTCACACACAGACGGTCTGCATGGAAGGAGCAACCACTTGGATGCATGGACAATCGTGATGCCATGAGCAAATGTGCATAGCAATTGCGCAACTTCACATCAAAGTTTTACTCTATCCCCTTCCCTCCTCTCCACGCCCCTTCCCCAAGCTCCTTTCGCACACCCTTTCCCCACGCCACTCGCCACTCACAATGGTGTCGTCTTCACCACCGCTTGGCCAGCTTCTTCACCACCTCTTGTGTGTCGTCCGTCTTTCGGGACGTCTCAGGACTCCCCATACCTCTTCCCCACACTCCCTCCCCACGCCCCTTCCCCACGGCTTTTCCCCACTCACGATGGTGTCCTCCCCATAGTGCTTGGCCAGCTTCTTCACCACCTCTTGTGTGTCGTCCGTCTTTCGGGACGTCTCAGAACTCCCCATACCTCTTCCACACACTTCCTCGCCACGTTCTCAAAGCTCCCCGCACCCCTCCCCACACCCCTTCCCCTCGCCACTCACAATGGTGTCCTCCCCGTAGTGCTTGGCCAGCTTCTTCACCACCTCTTGCGTGCCGTCCGGGCTGTTGTCGTCTATCACGATGATCTCAAACGACTCCTTGCTGGAACGAATTGAAAGAGAAGGGAAGGGAGGGTGCGGCGGAGGCGAGGTGAGGGGATTGTCGTCTATAACAAGGATCTCAAAAGACTCCTTGCTGGAAAGAGTAGCAAGAATGGGGAGCGTGCGGAGGACGTGAGGTCGGGAGGAGGGGAGGAGAGGGGCAAGACAAGCGGAAGCGGTGGGCTGTTGTTGTCAATCACGACGATCTCAAACGACTCCTTGCTGGGAAGATTTGAGTGACAGAGATGGGGGAAAAAGAAGGTGGGGAGGAAGGGAGGTGAGGGGGAAGGGAGGGAGAAACGGTGGACTGGAAACGAAGAGGTGCTGTACACAACGAGGGGGTACCCCCCCACCTTCTCCCTTCCCCATCCCCCCACCCCCCCTCCCTTTCTACCTCCTTCCCGCCCTATCACCCTGACGCACATCGATTGAAAGGTCTTGACAATCATGCACACAACGAAACGTACAACACTCCATTTACCTCCTCCACGCCACGCTGTATGACCCACACGCACACAGACTGACACGCGAGCACACGCACAAAGATTCAAAAAAGCCTTGACGATCATGTACACGACGAGGCTGGTACACCCGCCTCCCCCCAACCCCAACCCCAATCTCTCTCCTCCACGCCCTATCACTCCCACTCACACGGACTGGGCCCCCACACGCACATGGACTGGAAAGCCTTGACGATCATGTACACGACGAGGCTGACGTTCTCGCGCTCGTTGAACGTCGGCAGCAGCACCGAGTACTTCACCATGCGCAGCGACGCGCTCGCCGCGTTTGGCGCTGCGGGTTTCGGGATCCGGCCGAGCATGGGCTCGTCGGTTGGGAGCTCCATCACCCTCATGTCGTCCCTCTCCTCCATCTCCTCGATCTCCTCCTTGCGAACCATCCTGTGCGTCGCTTTTTCTTCGCTTCCTCTTCGCTTTGTCGTCGCTTCTTCTCACTCTCTTTAACTCCCTGGTTCTCTCGCACTCTCTCCCTTCCTGTCTGTCGCTTTCTCCCTCCCCCTCTCACTCACTCTCTCCCTGCTCTCTCTCGCTTCCTAAACTCGCTCCCGTTCTCCCGCAATCTTGTCCTAGCTGCTGGCCGAAACTGAGAGCTGCCGGATTCGACGGTGATGACACAGAAGGACGAACTAGTGCTAGTGCTGTAGAGCTGGTGGTTGATGCTGCGGCTGGTCAATGGTACATCTGGAAACGAAACCAGAAGAAACGCGACCGTTTGCGACTCCAACGCTGCTGAGATTCGACGAAGCGGGGTTCGAATGTTGAAAGTGCAGCCCGTGACCTAACGGTCTAAAGGTGAAAAGCAGTTTAGAATCAATACTGTGAACGGTCAGATTTCGTCTGGATAATTACTATCTACAGAAGAGATCCGCAGATAATCAGGATTCACTTGAGGAAAGCCGGCGGCACAATGCTTAGTGGCGAGACGGAGGGACTCTCGATTCCAAAAAATAACATATGCTGGCCTAAAAAATAACCAACCGCAGGCAAGATTCGTTTTAGGAGCGGTTTGAAGAAGCGACAACCAGTCTAAAAACTAGTCCGCGAAATGCGGTACAAAACAGGGTCCACGAAATGCAGTCAAGGAGGTTTGTATCGTGTCAGTTCTGCAAAATCCCCGCACAAAACAGTGTCTTTCTGTATTCTGATTTCCACAATGGTCTGATCGTGTGTGGTTTTGTGTGGTTGTGGTTGTGGTTGTGATGTTGCTGGTCGGTGGTGGTGCGGTTCTAGCAACGAAAGGGGTGATCATGTCTTGTATAGCAGAGAGGATCTTCTTCTGACAGCGATTTCTGCCACAACCAAAACTGGCGGGCTTCCTGAAACTATCCTCAATGGTGTAACAGAAATCATATATGATGTCGTTCTAAAAGGTATCTCCCATTGTAATACCCCATACATCAGTTTATGCAATATTGGACAAATAGCCATTGTCATGGCCAGTTGCGTTGCCCAAAAGCGTCACTGAATGGAAGACCGCAAATATGAAGTCTACCGTATAACCATCTCATCTTACAACCTCCTTCCTCCTCTCCCTTCAATCTCCCCCTCTTATCCCTTAGCTCTTCGCCTTTCTTTCCCTAATTCCTGACCCTCAATCCTCCTCTAATCCTCTTCCTCCGGGTATTCAATCCTCATCCCCCCTCCCCGCATCGAAACCAACCTCGGCCCCTCCTCCCTCTCCCCAATAACCTGCAACACATCACCCACCCGGAACCCTCCCCAACCGCGCACCACCACTCCACACTCCACCCCCGCATTCACCGCATCCACATCCACCCTCTCCCTCCTCAAAGACGCGCACAGCCCTTCATGAACCACCTCTCCCGATCTCAACACCCGCAGCTTCGCGCCCCGTTGGAATTTCCCTTCCGTGACCTTACACCCAGCAATCATCTCAGCTGCACTCTCATCCGCACCACCAGCACCTTCCCTCTTCCCACTCCCCCCTCCACCACTGCTGGAATTAGACTGCGACGAGGCCGAGGAGGCAGAGGAGGACGAGGAGCGGCGGTTGGACTTGCCCTTGAGGGGAAAGAGCTGCAGCACCTGTGCCTGCCCTGTCACCACACTGCACCGCACTGTGGGCGCCTGCTGCACCACCAACCCTCCAATGTCCTCCAACAGGTGGTAGATCACTCGGTGCAGACGAATCTAAGGAACAGCAAGGGAGAAGAAAACGGTGGAAAGGGGTGCAGAAGAATAGGGGGGGTGTTGAGACACAAAGGAGGATTTAGTGATGGCCTTGAGTGGGCATCACCAGCCCTCCAACGTCCTCCAGCAGGTGATAAGATCACTCGGTGCAGACGGATCGAAGGAAAAGACGGGTGTGGGACGGGATGGAGAGGCATGGGAAGAAGTGCTGGTCAGCACCGAGGGAAATTTGAATTCAACAATGAATTGCCTCCAAAACGCGCACACGCACGCACACACACACACATACACACACATCCACTCACCGGTACATCAGCCTGTTTCGCAGCAGCGTCCACAGCAGCACCCATACACCGGACATTGAAACCCACAATGGCAGCGGCACCAGTGGCCTCCGCCATGTCTATATCTGACTGCGTGATCGCCCCCACCTCCGCATGCACCACTCGCACCCGCACCCTCTCACACCCCATGTGCTCCAGCGCGCTCCCCACTGCTTCCACCGACCCCTGCACGTCTCCTTTCAGCACTAGAACTACTTCTTTCTGCGTGGGCGTGGCTGCTGCTGCGTCATCTGCTTGCTCCTGCTCTCCCAATGCCGTTACTGCTCCTGCTCCTCCTCCTCCTCCTCCTCCTCCTCCTCCTCCTGCTGCTGCTGCTGCTGCTGAATCGGCTGTGACGCCTGCAGACCCCCTCCCAGCCTGCACCTCCCCTGCTCCTGGCCCTGCCTGCTGCTCCTGTAACGCACTAGCAGCCTTCTGCTGCTGCAGCAGCCTCTGCCTATCCGCTGCCTCCTGCCTAGCCTCACTGATCCGCCTCGCTCTCGCCTCAGATGCCACCTCCATGAGTGAATCACCCGCCTCAGGTACGCCCTTCAGCCCATCAATCTCCACCGGTGTGGACGGCCCTGCCTCCTTTAAGCTCTCCCCCCGGCACCCCTTCAGACTCCTCACCCGCCCCCACCACTTCCCCACCACCACATACATCCCGCTCCTTAACCTCCCGCCCTTTACAATCACGCTCGCCAGCGGCCCCTTCCCTCGCGCCATCCTCGCTTCAATCACCACCCCCTCCACCTCCCCAGCCTCCCTGCCTCTTAGATCCATCAACTCAGCCTGTAAAGCAACTGCTTCTTCTAGGGTTTCGAGCCCGGAGCGTGTGCGAGCAGACAGTCTCACCACCTGCACGTCTCCTCCTATCTCTTCGAGTTCAAGGCCTTCTGAGATGAGTTGCTGGGTCACTCGGTCCGGGTCTGCCCCCTCCTTGTCGCACTTGGTTATCGCCACCACCATGGGGACACCTGGGAGGAGGAAGGGGAGAAAGGGGAGAGAGAGGTGGGGGGAAGGGGAGGGGGGTGCGGGGGGAGGGAAGTCAGAAGAAATGCTCACTCGGTCCGGGTCTGCTCCCTCGTCGCACTTGATTATCGCCACCACTAGGGGGACACCTGGATGTGAGGGAAGGGGGAGGGGGGATTTTTGTGGGGAGAGGTGGGGGAGGGGGGGAGAGAGAGAGCACAAAGCAAACCCTACACCCTCGACCCACCCTTGCCTCACTCACCTGCGCTCCTGACCCACCAGAAACCCACCTGCGCTCCTGACCCATCAGACAACCCATGAAGGCTTCATACATGAGGGTGTCATGAAGGCCTCATGAGAGTCCTTCAGGCCCTTGAAACGTCAGAACATGAATTCTCACGATGCAACCCTGTTTGTGTTATGTGTTTTGCCGCTACTGGTTTTGCAAGAATAATTGACAACTGATATGAGTAGATTATAGGTCACCAATTGATGAGACTGTTGCATCACTTAAGTTTGGTGCAATGGTCAACTCGTTTTATCTTGGACTGACAGTCGTGTTATCTTGCCAGATTAAGTCACCGTTTCGGATATCACAACTTGTTAGTCCAAAATCACAAGAGTTGACCACTGCACCAAAATTGAGTGACGCCACAATCTCATCAGTTGATGACCTAAGATCTACTCGTATCAGTTGTCAATTACCCTTGCAAAACCAATTGCGGCAAAACACATGACACAAACAGGGTGGCATCGTGAGAATTCATATTCTAAAGTTTGCAAGGGCCTGAAAGACGCTCATGAGGCCTGCATAAGACCCTCATGCATGAATGCTCCTGCGCTCACCTGCGCTCCTGGCGTGCTGAATGCTCTCTATGGTCTGCGGCATCACCCCATCGTCTGCCGCCACCACCAGCACCACGATATCCGTCACTGCTGCGCCCCTCGCCCTCATTGCTGCAAACGCCGCGTGCCCCGGCGTGTCCAGGAAGGTTAGTGCTGCTCCTGACGGCATCTGCACCTTGAACGCGCCTATGTGCTGGGGGGGCGGGGGAAGGGGAGGAGGGGCAAGGAGAGGACAAGAGGAGGGACAGAAGAAAGTTGCGTGCCCTGGTGTGTCGAGGAACGCGAGCGCTGCTCCTGACGGCATCTGCACCTTAAACATGCCTGTGTGCTGAGAGCGGGGGGCAGGGAGGGCGGTTTGATCAAAGAGGGGGAGAAAGAGGGAAGGAGTTAAGGGCGTTCTGTGCCCTGGCGTGTCCAGGAAGATGAGCGCCCCTTCTGATGGCACCTCTCCAAGAAAATCGAAGTGCTCCATCCAAGAGAAAAATCCAGAAAAACCAGAAATTCCAGGAAATCCATCAAGGACGTCTTGCCGTGACCCACGTGCCCTGCCCCCCTCACTTCCACTTCCGATCTCTCTCCCTGCCTCCCTACCTGGGTAATCCCCCCCGCCTCGGATTCCGCCACAGAGGTCTGCCGGAGCGCGTCCAGCAGGGACGTCTTGCCGTGATCCACGTGGCCCATCACAGCCACCACTGGCGCGCGCCACGGCCACGCCTTCCGCGCCTCCGCCTCCGCCTCCGCGCCCTCCGCGCCCCCCGCGCCCTCCTCCTCCGCGCGCAGGTCCCGCCCCCCGGAGACTGTGAAGCCGAATTCCTGGCGGAGAGGGGGAACGGGAGGGCGCGGAAGGGGAAGGGAGGCGGAAGGGGGAGACGGGGTGTTGTGAGAATCTGCAGATACACGTACAGGACAGAGGTGGGCGGAAGGTGGGCGGGTAGGAAAGGTGAGAGAAGAAAACGAATAAGCGAGCATGTGTGCAACAGGGTACATTTCATGCGAAGCTGCCCCATGCCTCATGCCCCAAGCCCTCATGCCCCCATGCCCCATCCACGTGCATACCAGCGCAACTAGCTCCGCAGCATCCGCGGACACCATAGCATCCGCTCCCGCGCGCCCACTCCCCCCGCCCCCATCCCCCTCCGCCCCCTTCCCCTCCTCCCCAAGCGCCGCCAGACACGTGCGGACTTCCTCCATCCGCTTCCCCAGCCGCACTGCCAGCTGGCGAATCGTGATTCGCCCGGCCGGCAGCTGCACCTCCCGCGGCCCAGGATCTGGCGCCGCCTTTAGCGGATGCGACGATCTAGCGCCTCGGGGCGCAACTTGAGCGCGGGATCCCCAGGATTTCGCCCCCCCCAACTGCGGAGAAGTGGCGCTGGCGCTTCTGTTCTCATGGCCCCTGCCGCCCCTAGGTTTCCCCCGGAAACCCTCGCCGCCACCTCCGCCGCCCCTTCCGCCACGAGATCCTCCTTCCCCCCTTCTCCTTCCGCCTTCCCCCGCCCCGCCGAAATCCCCGAAACCCTCAACCCCGTCCCCTCCCCGCCCGGGCCCCTTGCGCTGACCCCCGGTGCCCTCCCAGGTATCCGGACCTTCCGCAAGCACGCCGCTGGCAAGTGCCAGGTGTCGAACGGGGAGTGGCCAGGGGCTGCCGGCGGCCGTTGCGGCGTGGAATGCGGCAGACGCGCCGCGCTGAGCCAGCAATCCCCATGGGCGATCGCGGGAATCGATGCGAGGAAAGGGAGAGAGTGAGAGGAGGTGTGAAGGAGGACGCGATTGGGTTTGAGATAGCGTGGACTGCGGCGGTGGAAGCGCGTGATCTTGCTGCCGCTCCTGATGGTGTTGCTGCTGCCCTCCTCCTGAAACCGCGAAAGGATATGGCGGATCTCGGCTTAGAATCTCGTACCCGCGCGACTCAGCGTCAGATCCGCCGGGAAACACGGCGGGCTGCTCGGATAAATCGCAGGCCGGACTCGAATCGACGATGGATCCGTAGAGATGCGGATCTGCGGGTTGTAGATCGACAGATCTGGTGATCGGACGCGAGGAAGGAGAGGGGGAGGATGTTGAGATGGAGAGCGCCGGCTGCAAAATCGATTTCACGATCTCCTGCTGTTCGCGGTTCGGCAGTCGAGCCGCGAGGCGCCTGGCTGGAGCAGACATTATTAATGCCGGAATGGGAGCGCAACCGTAAAAGACGACAGGCGACGCGGCTACCAAATGCAGAATTCCGGGTCTAGTTGACACGTTTGAACTTTTGCATAAAGCCAGCCGCTGAAAAGTAGAATGAGGTATGGATGGAAGGCTGTATGACTTGCTCAGAACGCAATGCAAGGTCGAACCAGTTTCCTGTCGGAGAGACCGAGGCGTGCGTGTTTGTGGCAATGGCATGCTGGTTCTGCCCTGCCCGCTTCGGGGGTTTTGCTCCAAGAAAGCTGGTGATCAAAGCAGGGCAGAAGAATTTGACGAAGGTTTGTCCCAATCTTAGCTGAGTACTTTACTTAGGACTTTAGAATGGTGGAACTCGTCAGGGCCCTCTCCGTTCTGTATTTTGTGTGGGCAGGTTTGTGCCAATGGAATCAAAAAAGAACACTTGGCAGTCTGGGTAATATAGAAAAACATTTCCACCTTGCAGCTCCATTTGTTCGTTCTCAAACCATGTCCACCAAAAACGTTGCTTGCGAATCTCGTCACTCTCGCGAACGTCGTGACACCACCTCTGTCCGACGCCAACACAGCTTTCCACATCCTCCCACCCATCCATCCCCACTTTTCCGTCGCTTACCTTCTTCGTAACCTTCGCGAAGCTGCCGCTTATGCTGCCACGTGTACTAAGTTGCTGAAGTTCTTGGGATTGGTGAGACCAGGCTCCTTGTTCGGCAATCCCTCAATACCTCCTGCTTATCTCTCACCGCCGCACGCGCTACTAATCTACATACATCGCAAAGCCGGTCGCCACCGCTGTTCTTGTTTCCAGGTGATCCTTACAAGTCAATTGCACAGATAGAATCAACAAGAACGCTGGCTGCCGCTTTTTTTTTTCGCCCGAAACACTTCATTTACCTCTGCTCTGCCCTGCTCTCTTCTCCTCTTCGCTCCTCTCCTCTCGTCGTTCGAAGCCATGGACGCGTTGAAGAAAGAGCTCGAGCGGAAACGCAAAGCGTTCCAAGCCGACTTCGGCAACCGTCGATTCGTCGCTCGCGGAGAGATCGAACGGAAGAAGATCGAGCAGCTGCGGCAAGAGGAGGAGAAGGAACGCGAGCGGAAACGAGCCAAGCAGCAGGCAGCCGACGCGGGAAGCAACGGCGCCGGCACAGCCGCCGGGAAAGCCGGCGGTGCGAGCACATCGAAATCCGTGGCGGTAATCGCGGGCACGTCAGGGTCCGGGATCGACAAGGCGACCGAGGACCGAATTGACTCGCTAGTTCTCCCGCGCGCGGAGGTAATTAAGCGGCTCCGCGTTCTCCGGCACCCTATAACGCTCTTCGGCGAGGACGACGAGGCGCGGCTCGCTCGTTTGAAGCACGTGATGAAAACGGGGGAGGTGGATCCGGACGGGGAGCTTCTGGAAGGGCAGCAGAACGACTTCTTGCGCGATATGGCGGAGCTTAAGAAAGGCGGAGGGACCGGGGGGGGTGCGCGTGGGAAGAAAGACTCGCGGAAGGGGGACGGGGAGAAGAAGGACGGCGGGAAGGGGGAGGACGGGGGGAGGGACGGCGGCGGCGGAGCGGACGGGGGAGGCGGCGCGGAGGGCGAGGGCGAGTCGGAGGAGGAGGATGATGTGGACTCGGCGCGCATGCGCGCTAATTGGGAGGATCTGTGCGACGAGGATAAGATCCTGGTGTTTTTTAAGAAGCTGCTGCGCGAGTGGCAGCACGAGCTAGAGGTGAAACCGGAGGCGGAGCGGCGGACGGTAAAGGGGAAATCCGCGGTGGCGACGTTCAAGCAGTGCGCGAGATACATAGACCCGCTGTTCATCATGTGCCGGCGCAAGGTGCGTTGTGATGCTTGAGTGACATTCACAGGGAGGAGAGAGGAGGGAGGAGGTGAGAGGAGAGGGTGAACGGAGAGGGTGAGCGGAGAGGGTGAGAGGAGAGGGTGAGTGCAGAGGAGTGGAAGGATCATGGTGGGATGGTATGTGAGCTAAATTAGGGTTCGTGGTTGACAAAGGGAGTAGGATGGGATGGTGAGGTTAGACAAAGGGGATGGATGCGAATCCTGGGTTAGTTCAAAAATTCTATATTGCAGAACAACTTAGTTGAGTTAGTTGAGTTAGACCTAATGGGTCTCGTTTGTTAAACAAGCTGATTTCATAAAATATTCCATCTAAAGGAAAGGACCAACGTGTTCCTTCCCAGTGCCCACAATCTCTCCCACCATTCACTCTGCCCGTTAACTCCCCTCTCCGCTCCCCCTTCCCCCCATCTCCCCCTCCCCATTTTCTCCACACCCCTTCGGTCCTTCCCCTCGACGGCTGCTCCCTTCTTCCCCATCTAACCCCTCCAACAGCAACTGTATGACGACATTCAGGCAGCACTACTCTACATGGTGGGGAAGTGCAGGGAGAGAGATTATCTCGCGGCCATGGACAAATATATCAAGCTTTCCATCGGCAACGCGCCCTGGCCCATTGGGGTTACCATGGTGGGTATTCACGAGCGGTCTGCCCGAGAAAAGATTCACGCGAGCTCCGTCGCGCACATTATGAACGACGAAACTACCCGGAAATACCTGCAGTCGGTTAAGAGGCTCATGACTTTGTGTCAGAGGAGGTATCCCGCTCTGCCTTCTAAGGCCGTTGAGTTTAACTCGCTCGCGAATGGAAGTGACTTAGAGGCTCTATTGCTGGAGGAAGAGAGGAAGGCGGCTGTTGCAGGAGCAGGGGGAGAGGGAGGGGAAGGGAAGGCCGGGGAAGGGATGAAGTTGCGGATAACAGCAGCAGGGGAGGATGAGGGGAAGAAGAGATGAGGGGAAAGGGTGTGGGGGGTGGGGGGTTGTGGAGACGGGTGATGGCGGGGGATGGTCCTTGTTAGGAGGAAAGAGGAGGGGAGAGCGAGGGTGTGTGGGAGAAATAGCGCCAGAAACGAAGCTGACAATTTAATGGCGAATTCACTTGGAGGTTCAGTTGTCCTTGTTTTCATTCCACTTTGGTGCGTGGGTGATGCGTTTTTGAAAGCCCTTTTTTTCCTGATGCAGTTCCAGAAATCACTGCCATTGGTGCTGCTGTGCTAGGTGTCTCTGACTGGAAGCTTCTGTATGTGTGTACGGTACGAGCCAAGTTGAACCAGTTGCACATGCAGCAGCAGGCTGTGCCAAGTTCAACCAGTTGCACGTGCAGCAGCAGGCTGTGCCAAGTTCAACCAGTTGCATGTGTACAAGACTGATGTTCAATCAACGCAACAGATGGCATGGAATGTACGCGAAGTGGGTGGCACGGAACCATTGTGTGGCATGTTTGCAGTATGGTACTGGTATGTGTGCATATAATCTGACACACGTCTACACAACTGCAGAGGAAAGAAGTGTTTGGTGTGCAGCAACCAATTGAGCAGCCAGTGTCTGTCCTACTCAAAGCCATGTGACTCAATTGAGCAGTCTCAACACTGCAGAGACATCGAATCGCATCCACATGAACGGTAGAGTTAAGGGCGTATTCCTATCCTCCTATCAATCTGACCTCCTATCAAGCTCACACTGAAAAATTCCCTAAACCCTAAACCTCTCGCTACTTTTCCCAGGCAAAAGTACAATCTTGATAGGAGGTGGCCTTGATAGGAGGCTGTAGGAATACGCCCTAAGGTTTTGCGTTACACACATCATGCATCACTGCAGCAGCAGGAAGCGCTTCATGTGCAGCAGCAGGGTGGGCGGCCAGTGTCGCTCCGACTCAAGCCATGCAAGGTTGGAGAAGCGGGAGTCGAGGAGAGTTGCGATGGTGAATTGTCGCTCTGCTGCTGCTGCCCCACCCTCCACGTATAGTGCTGCTGCCAGCGCTGCATGCACCTCTGCGTGAGGCAGATTGGGTGGGGAAATGTAGGGGGTCAGGGCATATTGAGAAACCTCAAAAGTGGGTCCAGCCCATGGGTGCACTGTGCATGCATGCATGCGGGGATGCATGAATGCACTTCACGAGTCCGGACTCAAGAGCATACATGAAGATAAGCATCCCATCCAACTCGACTTTTATGTATGCATCTGGCCATTCAAGCATAATGCTTATGGATATATATATACATATATATATGTATACATATATATTGCAAAGTGCACCCACAATATATGCAGCACAGTGCACCTACCAGGATAACCCTTGAACTCCACGCTGAGCACTCGTAACCGGGTAACAGCCGTGCGCATGTCACTCACTTCGTACTCCATAAGAGCGCGCCCCGCTTTACCGTATACTGACAGTGCCAGGTCTGGGTATTGTTCCTGCACCTGCAGGTAGAGGCGAGCGAGTGGGGAGGGGAGGGGAGGGGAGGGAGTGGAGGCGAGGAGAGGGAGGGAAAGGTGAGGAGTGAGGGAAGGGGAGGGGAGAATGGAGAGGAGGGAGAGGGGGGGAGGGCGGAGGAGAGTAGAGGAGAAGCGGGTGTGGCTGCTAGGTGAAAGGTTGAATCAAATGGACTATCACCTGACAATAACTCTCATCTCTGCAGTTTCCTACACCCAAGCAAGCAAGCAGCGATTCAAGCCAAGCAAAAAGCGCTAGCGTTTATTCCCGCGGCTGTAGCAGCAGGCATGCGCGAGTGCGCTGGGTGCGCGCGCACCTCCCCCATGCGTGCGCGCGCACCTCTGTGTAGAGCGCCAAGGCGTCCGCCCACCGACCTTCCGCCTGCGCCCGCCGCCCCTCCTCCAGTGTGCGCACTGCCCTATCCACGCGCGACTCAAACGCTGCGCGCTCCGCGGCGACGTCCGCCGCGCGCAGGTACGGCGGCGGGGGGAGCACCACGCGGGGTTGGGGAGACCTGCGCGCGGGGGGAGCAGCGGAGGGGTCTGGCGCTTCTGTTGGGACACTGTCTTCTGCCGCCGCTGCTGCTGCGGATGTAGCCGGGACGTAGGGGGGAGCGGAAAGTGCGAGGAAGAGCAGCAATCCGACCAAACACCGTCGCGATCCTTCCTGTAACGTTATAGAAGCCCATTCTAACGCGGACCCCGGTTCCGTATCCGGTTTGTTCTCTTGCGATTGCTCGCTCTGCGAAGTAAGGGATGCAGTGTTTGCCGCATTCCTCGCTGCATTTCCCGCTGCATTGACCTCATTGCCTTGGGAGGCTGGTTGTGCAGAACAAAATCCACTTCTACGGATGTAGCTATATCGAATTGGTCGGAGCCCAAGGCAGCGAAGCGGCGACGACACGTGAAGTGCTGGTGAAGCACTGTAACCTCTGCGCTCTCTCGTTTGAAGCGCGCTTTTGGCGGAAATACGTTGCCGACTAACTTGGCAAGCCGCGAGAAGATTGGAGGCCGAGGAATAAGAGGTTGCCTCGCTCAGCATCGCGTCTGACAGTGGACACGCGTTGGAACCTTCGAGTGAACTTGTGAAGCGGCACGAGGACGATAATGGCGGTGATTGCGGAGGATAAGGAAAGAGTTCGCAATTAGTGGCTCCGCTTAGAGGGACAAGGATACAGCTGGAGGTACTCTTTCGACAGTGAATGTTGGTGTACGCTGTAAAAAGAAAAAATACAGCTGGCTGGTATTGCCAACTTTCATGGCACCCTTTCAGGTCTTGTCACTGAAAACTGTACATTGAATGATGATAATTTTACAGGAGATAAAATCCCACTAGCCCTACAACATTCAATCGTCTAAAGCACTTCTAACTAAGCTTCAATGTTCCGAGCATCTACATACTTCAATGCACAGCATGCTGCACCTGCACCTGCCATGTATGATATGGTAGTATGATAATGGCATGGTTGGAGCTCTGCTCATCACCATGGCCAATGTTAGTACCACCATCTCGTCCATCCCTGTCACCATGCCGACGCGCGAATGGTTATAACTCCATCCATCACCTTCCTGTCGGCAATAAATCAATCAAACAGCAGCAGCAGTGAGCTCATCCCCTCGCCTGGACTCGCCTCGCCTTCCTTGTTTCTGACTGCCTCTCACCACGCCAACGGGTCCCTCATTCGCTCGCCTCCCCCGTTTGTGCCCGGCTTCATGCCTTGTCTTTTCCTCCGCGGATCCGCCTTGGGAGTGGATGGCTTGCCACCCAGAAAGTCGTCCCAGAACTCGTCAAAATCGTCTTTTCTCCTCGCCGGCCGTTGTGGCTTCGGCTTGCTCGCCCTCTCATGCGCATGCACTGCCGCCTGTAAGGACAGCCGGGGAGAAAGAGAGCAGCAGACGCGGAGAAACGAGTAATGGGAATCATGAGGCTGCGAGGACGGATTGTGAGGGTTTCTATATGTGTCTCAGGGACAGGCAGGCGGCGAAAGGGACTGCAGCCATTGGCTGCGGACGACGCAGGAGGGAGAGTCGACTGGTCCTGTGACGCTGGGTGGACATCTGAACCTTACCGTGAGAAAACGAAGTCGCAGCGAGGAAAACAGAGAGGCAGCGAGGCGTAACCTTCGAAACTTCTGACAAGGACTGGCTTACCTCGTACGCTCGGTTGACGTCCATGAACATGGCGGCTGCTCCCGCGTCCTTATTTACATCTGGATGCCACTGTGGGCGCAAGACGCACGCGAAGCAGGGAGGGAAAGGAGAGAGAAGATGACATGGTTAGCAGACGCAGGAAAAGACAGGGAAGATGCGATGTTGTTCGGTTGAGGAAAAGACAGCACGAAGGAGCAGCCGGAATGGCAAAACGGAGTTTCGGGAGAAGACGGTAGTCGGGGAAAAAAAAACGAGGTGACTGCACGGAAGCGCGTAAGGGATCGGGGGAGGTGGCGCAGGCAACAAACCTTTCGGCAGAGAGAGCGGTACGCGACGCGTATCTCCTGCAGCGAGGCGGTGCGAGCCACTCCGAGCACACGGAAACACTCCAGTTGCGACGCGGATCGCTGGCGCGTAGGCGACGTCGCAACGCGCGTGCGCGATCGTCGCGGGCTGTGCACGTGGGAAACGGCAGAGCGGACGTTAGCACTTTCCCCAATCGAGCTGGTGCACGTGTCATCTGTGGACGCACCGCCGCCGAGGCTGACCCTTCCCATAGCTCCCGTTGCTTTTACAGCAGCCACGTCATCCTCGGGACTTACTCCCTCTGGCTCGAGAACCGGATTTTGCGGGAAATTATCGACCAGGACGCCGGGAGGGACCACGGTTTGTGAGTGTAACGGGAGATCGAACGGGTGTTGTAGCGGGAGCGGCGCCTGTAGCGGCTGATGTAGCTGCTGCTGTAGCGGTTCCTCTAGTGGCGGTTGTGTCGGCGTCGCATGACGATCACTCTCTAGCGGGGCTGGCCGCGTCGCCACGCGCGGCGAGGCTAATCTGGCAGAGACGCGTGGGGAAGACGGTGGCGCGGATACGAGCGGAGAGGCTGGTCGTGCGACGAGTCTCGGCGACGCTGGACGGTGGACGCACCCCACTGCTTGGTCGCGACCCGAGTCGGACATGGATATTGCCTGCGCGCCCTGATTCGTCCACGGCCGGCATTGGGTGGCGGAAGGAATGGCTAATCTTAGGTTGGAGCCTGGACGTTGGAGAATGGGGCTGGGAGGGCGAAACGGAGTCGCTGGCATGCTGAGCTGACAGGGAAGTGAGAGCGAATGACGCAGACTCAATTACGAGGACGGGTAACTTGCACTCGCAGAGACTGCTGAGAGAATGTGAAGGTTGCGTAAAAGATCAGAACGTCTCTCCGAAGTACCTCTATGTCTGACGCGAAATTCAGCTGAAAGTGGTGTACTAATGTGTGGGGGTGAGGAGAAATTGAGCAAAATGTGATACTGTAAATTTGCGGACATAAGGAAACGGGGGAGAGACGCAGGGTGATGGACTGTATGGAAGAGGAGGAGAAATGTGGCGCCTGGAGTTGCGAACGTGAAGTGGGTGAATGGATGGAGGCTTGAATTGAAGGGTCATCTCGTCATCTCTCTTCTCGTCGCGTCGTCGCGTCGATGTCGCCGAGGCACGTCAGCTCGGATAACGTGTCGCATATGGAGGCACACTGCCCCTTTTCGTAAACGAGGTGTTTTCGGAGGGGTACAGTAACTGTTGCTTGCGACACTTTCGCATACCCTCGTTTAGGAACACGAAATGCTATATTGTCCCTTGAGTCTGGTGGAGTGGTGTCTCAAGGCGCCAACGCTGAAGATTATGCTGAGTTCGAAGTTGGGATATTCGGCGGGAGAGTTTCCGGAAAAAGCTGACGGCGAGTTTGAATTAGACAGCGAATGAAAGGAGAGCGCGATCTCAGCTAACTGTGATCCTGGCCAATCAGCACATTTTTTGCCGGCTAGACTGTCTAGGACAGTGAGGTGTGGCCGTGTGACTAACGACGAGGGTAAAGTGATGGGGTGTGGTGTGGTATGGTGCCAGGGGGTGTGGCGCGCGTTCGAATTCTGAGCGGCTTGGTTGTGATCAATCTGCTGGCTGTGCGGCGGCACCATCTCATCAATCATCCCGAAGGGGAATGCTGGGTCTTGTTCGGTTTCTCCCACAATTGATGATGAGTTGTCTTGCGACTTCTGCTGTTTTTTGCTGCCCGTTTCAAAGTGTACACGTATTTTATTATTCTTCATATACGAAAGAAGTGAAAAATCTGCCAAGATCCACTTTGGGCTGAGTTGGAGGTTCATGCATTTTTCCACCTGGAAACCCAAGGGAAACCTTTGGTTCTAGAAGGTACTCTTGAGTTACCAGGAATAACATATCTGACCAGGGCGTCTACTGCTGGCGTGGATGGTGTCTGTAAAGATTCGACATTGACGAACTTCTCGAAACTTCAGCAAGGCGCGCCAGGACGCATCATCCCCTTGCCAGCAGAATGTGATGTTGATGCCTCGCGAGGCGGCTAGTCGCAGATGACGCCACGCCAGATCCACGTCATAAAAATTGACTTTGCTAAAGTCTGATTGATTGGCTCTTGGTCAGCAAGATGCCAACACGGCGCCGAGCAAAGACATGGCCATGGCTTCCGCGAGAAGCGCACAGAGCTGTCACAGCCAACCGAACCGAGACACGCATTTCGTCCCAGATAAGGGTGAGTGTACGGCTTCGCATGGTCCATTGTAGGCCAATAGTTGCCCCGATCTCCGGAACGAGATTGAGCCATCTGTCCAACCCACGCTGACAGCGTGGAACTTTTAGAGCGGAAAGGATGCGAAAGAAATGAGCAGGCACAACCAAGTGGATTTCCTCATGACAACTGCACAAACAAAGCAGGCTTGAAGAAAATCCTCGATGTTGAGCAATTAGGCTGAGTCACGAGCTACTCAGTGTGTTAAACCTGACATTATATTCATCTAAATATTTATGGTATGCTAGTGCACACCAATACCATCAAAATTTAGGGAAAACAATAGCAACAGTTCATCATGGCGGTGTACGAAACACCAGCCATCCAGAGTCCCATGATGCTTTCCACTCATCCTACCAGTGATCAGGACTTAGGTGGTCGAGGTCAGAAGAATGTAACACACGGGCACCTTTAGGTGCTGCATGCAACAAAACTCTTCCAGGGCTGTCCTATTGACTAAACTCCCTCAAGCCAGTGCGTGGCTCCAGGAGAGCAAATCGCGGGGGGCTCCAGTTATCATCATCGTCGTCATCATCATTATCATCCCACCCTGCCCTCCGGGACAGTGGAACGGGGTTATCAATTATTGGAGATCCCGGTTGAGATGTTAGGAAGCTCTGGAAGGGAGGCGCCATGACTGGTCGAGACGGCACAAACCGCGACGCATCCATGGGTTTCCACACTTTATACCCCGACATGAACGACTTTTTCTTTGGCTTTACCCCTGCAGCTTCCCCATCCTTCCCACTGTCCTCCCCACTGTATCCACCCCCCTCCTCCTTTGCCAACTCCCCACTTTCAGACCCCCCATCTCCATCCCCCCCTATCCCTCCTCCTCCTCCATGCCCTTTCTTCTTTCCCAGCTTCCAGTGTTTCCCCGCACCAACAACAAACATGTTCATGCCCTTACGCTTAAACGACTCCTTCTGAAGCAGCTTAGCACCCCCGAGCCACCAGAAAGCGGCAGCAGCACCAACAGCCAATCCAATGATCACGAAAAAGACAATCGCTGCCACCGCTCCTCCGCTCAATCCTGAACTCTCTTGGCTGCTGCTCTCGCCACTGCCGTTGTCACCACCAGCAGCACCATTCTCCCCCGCTCCTACTCTTGAGGACGAATCAGCAGAATCTGCTGCTGCCGCTGCTGCTGCTGCTGCTGCTGCTGCTGCTGTGGTCAGTGCAGGGGCAGAGGAATTATCTGAGGCGGAATCGCTGGTGAGTGTGCTGTTGCTGCTGGTACCACCGGCGCCAGCAGGGCTGCTGCTGTTGCTGGCAGTCGTGGTGTTGGTGGTGGTAGAATTTAGATGTGACCCATCCACTCTAGTGGCGTTTCGGCTGCTACCACTGCTGCCGATGCTGTTGCTGCTGCCGTTCCTGCCGCTGCTGCCGTCGCTGGTGTCTATTTGAGACGAGTTGGAACCCGGAAGGGGTTTTTGAATGACAATTGAGGGCGGCGAGCCAGAGGGAGAGTGGGGAGGAGTGGGGAGAGAGTGGTATTGTCGCTGCTGGAGTCGCAGCTTCAAAATGACAGGATTGTACGGCATGCCTTTCTGCTCAGACGGAGAGAGAGAGAGAGAGAGAGAGAGAGAGAGAGAGAGAGAGAGAGAGAGAGAGAGAGAGAGAGAGAGAGAGAGAGAGAGAGAGAGAGAGAGAGAAGCCAAGGGGGGATGAATGAAGAGGGTGGGGATCCGCAAAGGGGTAAGTAAAGTAAGGGTCAGATGGTGAAGGGGAACACCAACGGCCAGATGGTGAAGGGGAACACCAACGGTCAGATGGTGAAGGGGAACACCAACGGTCAGATGGTGAAGGGGAACACCAACGGTCAGATGCATACACCACGGATGTGATGGTGGCATGCAGGTCGCATGGCATGCAAGTTGGATGGCATGCAAGTTGGATGGCATGCAAGCTGGATGGCATGCTGAGGAAGGCATCTCCTAAATTTTTCAAAGAGCACTTAACCCAACACCATGATTGGACATGCTGTGAGTCAATCCAGAAAGTGAAAACGTGCATCTTGCCGTTCATCCATCATGCCTCATCACACATGCAATTATGCATCCACCATGCTTCGTTCATACACGCACGCATGCATGCATGCATCCGCCATGTCCCGTACCACATGCGGCATCTCCACGCTGATGGCGTCAGTCAGGTGCTGCGATATCAGGATGAAGTTGGTCTGTGAGAAGAGACAACAAGGCAGGAAGAGAGGAGGGGGAGGGAAGAAGGCTGTTTGCATGAGAGGGGGGGGGAGAGAATGGCTGGCATGCTGATGGCGTCAGTCAGGTGCTGCGATATCAGGATGACATTGGTCTGTGAGAAGAGAAGGGGAGGGGGCAGGAGAGAGGAAGGGAGTTCGTGTGTGTGTGTGTGTGTGTGTGTGTGTGTGTGAGAGAGAGAGAGAGAGAGAGAGAGAGAGAGAGAGAGAGAGAGAGAGAGAGAGGGTGTGTGCAGAGAAGATTGTTCCATGCTGATAGATCCAGTCAGGTGCTGCAATGTCAAGATGAGGTTCGTCTGCGTTATTAGACAAATTCGACAGAAGAAGCACAGCTTGTAACCGTCTCTGCGGGTTGACTTTTGAGTCGACTCAAAAGTCGATCCAGTCAGGTGCTGCAATGTCAAGATGAAGTTCGTCTGCGTAATTAGACAAATTCGACAGAAGAAGCTCAGTCTGTAACCGTCTCCGCGGTGACGTTTGGGTTTACCAGGACTTCACATCCCCTCTACCTGCTGTGCCGCTATCTGCCGCTTCTCAGACGGTAGCGCCGCCGCCACGTTGATCAGACGCTCTGACGTGGCGTCCTGTGATTGGTCCACAAGTGAGAGTGAGGGGAGGCGGCAGGGTGGCGGTGAGGAGAAGGGAAGAAAATAGTAAGAAGATGTGTAAGGTTTCCAGCAGCTTAGGACAAGAAAGAGTCCTGGGGAAAGGACGAATGGTTCTCATTTCAAAAGCAGCAATGCAATGAATCATGGGGTGTGTGCATGCGTTGTGTGCAGCAGAATGGGTGCATGCGTTGTGTGTGCGCTGACCTTGATGATCTGCATCACTCGTGACACCGGGTCCAGATTCTCCACATCCAAATCCTGATGGGCGGGGTGGGAGGGCGGGTGGATGAACGGGTTAACTTTTGAGTCGAGTCATAAGTCAACTCTCTGACCTTGATAATCTGCACCACTCGTGACACCGGGTCCAGATCCTCCACATCCAAATCCTGATGGGGGGGTGGGTGAGTGGGTAGGTGGGTGGGACGGAGGGAGGCAGGCAGGCAGACAGACAGGGAGGGAGGAGGGAGGATGTACGGATGGAAGCAAGAATGCAACCTCCTGCATGGATTCTCTTCCTGAATCGACGCCACACAGCAGACACTCCCGGCACAAGGCCACACAAGTTTTAAACGAGCAGGCCTAAAGGATCGCTCACGGCAGTACAGATAAAGCAGCGGAACTCGCGGCTGACGCGACTCACAGCGGAGAGGTCCCCATCGAGGTCGTTGAACGTGCCCATGACCACCACCTCCTCCCCTCCCGCGGTTCAAGGAGCAGGCCTAGGGGAGAGCGCTGAAAAGCAATAATGTCGCCGGTAAAGGAACGCGACTCACTGCGGAGAGGTCCCCATCGAGATCATTGAACGTGCCCATCACCACCACCTCCTCCCCTCGCAGCAGCAGCCGGCGCACCACGCGCGCCATGGCCACTGCCTGCGCCTCCCTGATTGCGCACGGTAAGCTGCCCCGGAAGGACACTCCCAGCAGCATGTACACGCCCACCACTGCGAACCGCACCCCTGCCACTGAGAAGCTGCCGGGTGGAGAGGGGACAGGGAGCAGAGGCAGGGCCAGGTAGGGCAGGGCAGGGCAGGGTTGGGAGGGAGGGAGTTTGGCCACTTCCCAGCAGCATGTACACTCCCACCACTGTGAACCGCACACCCGCCACGTAGAAACTGGGGGTAGAGAAGGGAGGGCAGAGCAGGGCAGGGAGAGGAGAGGGGATATGCATGGAGAGAGGAGAGAATGTAGAGAGAGGATGAAAGGGGAGGGGAGGAAAGGAAAGGCCATGCAAACGAGTCACACACACACAGACCCGACCAGCACCGGGAAGCGAAACGACATCTGCGCGACTCACTGCGACACGAAGTGCGTCGGCGGGGGGGTCTTCCCCGCCTGCCCCGCGGGCAGCCCGCACGCGGAGTCGGGGATCGGGTAGCGCTCCGCCTCCACCGTGCTCTGCAGCGGCAGCGCGCCGAGCGGCGCGTGCAGCGCCATCAGCGCGAGCGGCAGCGAGCGCCACGACTCGTTCAGGCGCGCGGGCGCGGGCTGCTCCGCCACTTGGTACGCGCGGTAGCTGGTGGGGGGGGGGGGGGGGGGGGGGGTTGGGGGAGGTGGAACCGGGGAGGGGAGGGGAGGGGTTAGGTGTATGCGCCATGGTGGAGTGGGAAAACTTGGAGGGAGGCGAGGATTCAGGGACACTGGATGGAAACACTGCATTCAGGGAACAGCCTTGTCTGTCGTGTGCTGTCGCGTCCCTCCGTTGTCTGTCGTGCCCTCAGCTTGAGGTAACAGAGGTGACAGGGCACAAGGCTTGTGTAGACACCTCAGTCTGTAGACACCTCAGTGTGTAGACACCTCAGTCTGTAGACACCTCAGTGTGTAGACACCTCAGTCTGTAGACACCTCAGTCTGTAGACACCTCAATCTGTAGACACCTCAGTCTGTAGACACCTCAAGCTCTCCTATACTACGCTGCTCGCCTGATCCCGTCCGCAACCCCTTCCCCCTCCCTCCACCTCTCCTCCTCACCCTTTTTCCATTCCCCTTTTCGCCTCTCCCCCTTTTCCCTTCCCCTTTCCCCCGACCGGCCGAACGTGGGGAAGGTTGCGCTGCTAACCTTTTCCCTCCGCTCTTCCCTCACCCCCACTTTCTCCTCCGCCACCTCCCTCCGCCACCCCCCATTTTCCCCTTCTCCCGTCTCCCTACCGGCCGAATCTTGGGAAGGTTGCGCTGCTGGCTTGATTCGCTAGGCGCTGCACCGTGCCGCAGTCCGTTAGCCCGGTCAGCGCCCACACGTGCACTGCGGAGGGGAAGCGGAAGGGGCAATGGGAAGGGGAAGAGGGAGCGGAAGGGGGAGGGAGGCAGAGGTTTGGGTGGGGGCGGAGGGGAGAAGAGGTGGTGGATTGGGGTAACATATCCCGGCGCTGCACCGTGGCGCAGTCCGTTAGTCCGCTCAACGCGCACACGCGCGCTCGGGGGAGCGGGAGCGCGGAAGGGGACGGTGCGGCATGAGCTCTTCAGGCGGTTTTGTGGCATAATGATGGCTACGGGAAGAGCCAAGCGTGGTTAGCTTCCAGCCGAGGGAAGAGCACTGGGTGGCAAAGATGGGGGAACGGCGCGTGCGTGCGTGCGTGCGTGCGTGTGTGCGTGCGTGTGTGCGTGCGTGCGTGCATCGGCACAGGCATCTCACCGCGTGATTTCCGGATGAAGGGCGAGCCGCGCTTCAGCAAGGTCTCAAGCGTGGGACACGCGGCTGCTCATGACAGGTGGACAGGGCGCGGGGAAGGCGGGGAGGTTGGGGAAGGGGAACAGGGAGACGGGAACATGTGAGGACGCCTCCCCGCCGCACATCTTCCCCGTGGTTCGCCGCGGCACTGGAGCAGACTTGTGGGGATGCGAAGCGCGAACGGACGGAGGGCAACGAGGAGGAAGACGGCAACGGACGCATGGGAATGGGCATGGGAACGGGAACGAGAAGGCGCGTGCACGCGCACGGCGACGGGGTTGATTCATGAATGGGCGACGTGCAACGAACGAGGACGATTGGCCCCACGAGGACGAGGGCAAGGCAGCGCATGAAGCATTGGCGCCCAGGGCGGCACAGAGGTGGCACAGACGCGCACGGAACGGTGCGGAAAGGCAGGGAACGACAGGGAACGGCACGAGAAGCAGCAGAGGCGCGCTCACCTCTGCAAGGCATGGGGCGAGAGTCGAAGGACCAGAGGCTGAGAGGGGCGGGGCGGGGAGGGAAGGCAAAGGAAACAAGAGGGGAAGGGAGTTAAGAGGGAAGAAAAAATGATGAGACGAGGGAGAGCAAGATTCACTTTCTTCGACATTTCCTTCCCCATTTTTACCTCCGCTTTTCCCCTTTCTTTTCGTGCTGCGCCTACCCGAAGCTCATGGTGCGGCTCGAGTCCACGGGGGAAGCGGCGGGGCCGGTGGGGCCGCACGGGGACAGCGGGAACGCCGGCAGCTTAGCGCATCCGGCGGCGGAACAGTCGGCGAGATTAAGAACCACGCCGCCTGAGAGCATCAGGTTCGCGGGGAGTAGCGTCCAGTCGCGCTCCGGCGCCGTCCAGTTGACCATGGGCGTCGCGGCGTGCGCGGCGCGCACCGCGGTTCGGCCGCGGTTGCTGCTCTCCGACTTTGAGTCGATGCCCCACCACAGGAGACGCGAGCTTTCGCCGCCTGTGGCGGCGGCGACGGCGGCCCCGCCGGGAGAGGCTTTGGTCCGGATAGCTGCTCGACCAAACTGGAAGGAGAAGGGTAGGGGCAGAATGAGGTGAGCGGAGGAAGAGCGGAGCCGAGGAAGAGGGGAGCGGAGGAAGGGCGGAGCAGAGAAAGAGGGAAGTGAGAGATGAGCGGAAGGGCGGGGTAGAGCGCTGGACCGAGTAAGTAAGGGGAGACAAGGAGGAAGAACGAAGGGGCCCAACAGACAAGAAGAGACGCGGATATAGCGCGGATGTAGCGCAGATGTAGCGCGGATGTCTCCGTTTCAGCACGCGGATGTCCTCCCACGAGCGGCCCATCCTACGAACTTCTCGACCGCCTCGCCTGCCCCCCGTCTTCTTGCCATGGGACGCCTTCACAACACGCTCTCGCCACACGCATTCCATGCGCCACGCGTTTCAGCACCCTGCCACTCCTCTTGCTGCTCCTGTGGCCCCCCAAGCTCACCCCTTCTTCTACTTCTCCGTCCTCCCCTCTGTCCTTTTCCCCGTCGTCGTCCCTTGTAAGGTCACAAACTGGTTTTTATATGTATTTGTAAGCTAGTTATTTGAGACGCTTTTGAGCTGAGATGCTTTGAAAAGCACCTTATTGATCAAGGTTACTCACGATGTCTCTGGTGGGGGCTCGATCCGGCGGTTGCCAGAGCAGGTTGAACGACACAAAGGGGCCGAAACGAAGCGACTGCGGGGAGCAGAAGGAAGGGATGGGCGGAGATCAAGGGAAGAGGACGGTTTACACGGAGCTTGCAGTGGGACGTCCCCTCCACAAAGAAAGAAGACCGAGAATAATTCACGAGTAGTAGGATTAGGTGAGCTCGCAACGGCCAGCGACATAGATTGTCGTTCCGAAATGAGTGACCCTTTTCGTAATGTCACACTCGCACCTCGACTACGATGTCGCATAGTCGTTCCAAGATGAGCGACCCGCCACCGTGGCACAGCGTGATCGTGACACCTGGACTAAGCTGCCACCTGTCTCCATACTCCTTGCCCTCCCAGATGGCCGTGCCGTTGGCCCACACGAGCCGCAGGTCTGCCACGTCAGCTTCTACAGCCCCAGCTACATCTCGCACCGTAATCTGCACAGCGAAGTTGCCGTCTGTGCCGGCTACAACCTGACTTATGATTGGCTGAGCAGAGGCCAGGAGTCTAGCGTAGGGAGGATGGCCGAAGTAGGGTAGTGAAGAGAGGACGGACGATACTAGAAGAAAAAACCATATTGCTCGATCACGCCGTACGCATGTCATCATCGAGAGCGTCTAACTTTCTGCTGGAGTGCTTACGTCGAGGTAACGGGTTTGAAACAATCACTATACAATCTGATTTGCTTCTTCTAGGGCTTGCCTCGGAACGACGGTAAGGCTGCGCAAAGGGGATTTCTGGGGTGTGACTGACCAGCGCGGCACGGTGTATATGGTCTGGTTACTACTAATGCCTGCCTTTTTCATTTCAATTTGGTCCGTGAGCGTTTGCTTGCTTGGAGGTAAGTCAATCGAGAAGTCAACCACGGTGCCTGTGATTCCTCCTTCAGGCCACTACTCGTCATGGCATCTCGAGATATTTTTTAACATTGCTGGAAATTATTTGCGTCGCGCCCAGACGGTGGTATCACGTCGACAGATACGCGCTCCAGAGGAGAGAAATGGCAACAAAGCACCAGTTAGGAGTAAGTGCAACGGACTCGCACAGTAGACTTGCAGTCTGCTACGACAACGGTGCTGGGGAGAATTGGAGAGGTGAAATGCAGCATAGATTTCTCATTTGGATGGAACTCGAACCGTTCCATGGATTGATGTCATTGTGCGGCTCGTATACTCTGACTTGCGACGTTCGTCATAGCGAGTCAATCTTTGCGAAGCAGGTAACCTTGTCAATGTTTTTGTGGAACTCCCTCGCGACACTGCAGGCGTCGCCGTGCTTGTGCGGCGTGGCGGGAGAAAGGCATGGCGGCTCGTGGAATTCGAACGGTGTGGCGCGAAGCAGTGTGCAGATGGCGTGGCAGGGGTGTGATGGGTGGATGGGTGAGCTGGACAGGGAAAAGAGTTGCTTTCCAGCTGACGGCATTCAGTTATCCAAGATAGCAGCAGCCGACCAGAATTCTTCCCTCCAATATTTGAAGTTCCGAAGAACACTCACAACACAATTTAACAGGATTCACTATATGTTAATAGAAATATGTCAGTACATTATGTTTCTCAGTTAATAATACGTTTCCTACACGTAATACACCTTTAGATGGATGACACATATCAAACATGAAAATAGTTGCTAGAAAGTAAATAGAATTCTCACAATGAATAAAATCTCGGGCTTAAACTGGAATGGTGGAATCCAACCGATGGGTTAGGGCGTGTTCCTTGGAGTTATTGGTCGGGCAAGTTAGAAGGAAAACTGGAGGCTGAGCTGACCCCGATGCAAATTCTTGCTGACACAAAGAAAGATGCGCACGCGCCCCTGAACCATTCGCATTCGCACCACTCGTCCTCGTCAATGTCAAGGAGTCAGTTTGGGAAGCTCGGTGATCCCCCTCATGCTCCGACAGATAATCCCGCTGTATCACGTTTCTGTTTCCCTTGCTCCCAATGTGTCCAGTCCAGTCTTCTTTTCTCCGACTTTACTGCTTTGAACTTCGCTGAAACGATATCCAGTGCCAGAAAGTCACGATGGACGAAAACGAGAAGGAATATCCCATGAGCATCTATGCTCTTGGCCAGCTTCGAGCTCAGATAAATGTGTGGATAGCATTCAGGTACTTGCTCAGCCTTAACACCCCAAAGATGAAGGTTACAGTGCATATAATAGTTTTCCATGTTTCAGGAAGGGAAAGGTTCCTCCACGCGCAGACCTCGCATTGGCTTTACGCCGGCTCCCAAGGCTTTCGCGGAACCAAGCGAAAGGTAATGACTCTGACGGTCTTAGCAGCCACTGCTCCTTGAAGTTGAATGCACGAGGCGACCACCAGCAATGTGGGATGCTAACAAGCACTTCTGGAATTTACAGAGCTCGAGAAAGAGTGCAAAGGAAGGTTGTCGGCCAAGATATCTAACGCACTGGAGCCGCCATCAAAGAAGACGACGAAGAATGTGAGCGATTTGTCACAGCGTCAGGCCCTGATATAAACCGTGCCGTGCTAAATAATACTTACATGACGTGCAGAAACCGCCACAAGCTCAAAGCAAGAAGAATCCTGAGCCAAATGCCTTGCACAACAGAAAGTCCAAGTCACAGGCTAAGGTCAAGCAAGAGCCTGCCGATGTTCCTGGAGAGAAGGAAAAAGAAAATAGCAAGAGCACGATCCGTGCCAGCATTCCCAGCTGCTCGGCTCGGTCTCAAGATACCCTACTTCCAGAAGACCATCTACGACTCATAAGCTCCATTCCCAAGTCGCATAAGGATCGCTTTCTGGAATTTCAGCAGCAGATAATACGGTAAGCAGCGGATCCGCTGTTCCAATGCAAATTCTTCACCACAGCCATTTGAGACCTCGAGATTGACAGTGGTCTTGCGCAGGGACATTGTGCTAGACTTCAAGCTCGCGTCCGGCCTGCTGTTGCGCATGCCAAAGCTCAGCTTCCACAATCGAAGCCTTCTCAATCTCTGGAGACGCTGGGTCCCAAAAGAGGAAAAGGCTGGCCTTGAGGGTGAAAAAAGGGAACCTAACGACGATGTTGGCCAAAGGAGGACCTCGCAGCGGAACAAAGCTCCGGGAAAACGTAAAGCTGGCAGCACGAAGTCAAATTGCGGATCTAAGGATGCTCCTAAAGGGACGACTTCAACTGGTGAAGGCGCTCAGGTGCTGCTGCCAGCGGCAGAGGGCGTGTCTGCTTTGAAGTCAAGGTGGATGGAATGGAAAACCAATATGGCCAAAAGACGTAAGAAGAGAGACATGGAGGCTTTCCTTGGGGATATCATCAGACAGAGGTATACGTCTATGTCCTTTCTGTTGCAGATTTGTCTGTTAAGCCACCAAGAGTACGCTGGACATTAAGGCTTAACTTCCTTGTTGCTCTTGTGCCAGAGATAAGATATCCAAGGCGGCTGAGGCGAAAGCAGAGAGACGGTTGTTGACATGCCAAAGAGTAATGGAATTTCATGAGCAAAGGAGGAAAAAATACGAAGAGGAGCAGCTGAAGTTGCAAAGGCAGAAGGTGGAGCTGCTAAGGAACAATGACATGGAAGGCTACCTCAAGCTGGTTAAGGTGGGTGTTCGTCGTGCACTGGAACAGGTTGTGCTTGTGCAAAAAGATCGTTTATTTATCTTTCCAGTTCAAACAATGGCTGCTGTGGCTCTTGGCACAAGATCTCTATATTGATGTCAAGTTGTTTGCGTTACTGCAGAATATGAAGTCAGAGAGGGTGCAGAACCTGCTCAAGGAGACAGAGGCGCATCTTCAGCGCATTGCTGGGCGCATAGCGTCTGTACGCCAGCAAAAGGGCGTTGTGAAGGGCCAGGATGAAGGGGCTGAGCCAGACGCGGGTGAACTTGTAAGTGACTCACGGCTAAAAGTTACTCTGTGGAATATAGTTTTGCATTTAAGGCAAGGAGTAACTTCTGCCTTATGTTTTTGTTTTTGTTGTTGCAGTCAGGCACGACAAACCACCTTGAAGCTGAAAAGGCTTACACAAATTTCTTGCACAAGTAAGACGAAGTGATTGTTTCAAAGTTGTGGTCTGGTAGCTATTTCTGCTGTTGTGGTGGCCGCCTTCCAGATTGCATATTTCAATTAATCTTTCGATTCTGCTCCGGCAACTCTTATTGCAGGAAGTCGGAAATCGTTCAGCAGCCATCGATTCTTTCAGGAGGAGAACTACGCGAGTATGTGCAAAGGAACCGTTCCCTCTTCCCATGTGCATCTCTTTCCGCACACCTAGTTCCACTCATGCACGTCACACTCGCGTCGCAAATGTCCTCTTTCTCCTGAGTTGCCATGCTGACGCTCTGTCAATGTGACACAAGCTGAGGGTATCAATGCGTTTTATGTCTGGCAGATACCAGAGGGACGGACTTCAGTGGCTTGCGTCACTGCATGCCAATGGCCTCAATGGTATCCTTGCAGACGAGATGGGACTAGGCAAGACAGTCCAGGTGAGCTAGCAGTATCCAGTGAGTGTGTGTTTCTCGCCTTTTCAGCTTTGATAACCCTGTAAATCTGGTATTACCCTGTGTGCATGTAACTGTTCAAAATACTAAAAGGCCACATGTGCGTTGAAATCAATTTCAGGTGATTGCACTGCTCTGCTATCTCGTGGAGGTGAAGAAGATTCCGGGGCCCTTTCTCATTGTGGCGCCAGCATCTGTTCTTCCCAACTGGGTGGCCGAGTTTGCCCGATGGGCGCCTTCCCTCCGTGTTTCCAGATATTCTGGCATGCCTGACAAACGGGCTGCTATATTCAGGTGCTAAATCTGTATAAACGAGGGAAACAAGGGGAATCTATCACAAAAAAATCAACGGGAAGCTTAGGTGCATCCATTTCGTTCCCTGAATGATATATGCGGTATGAATCTGCGGTGTGCCTTTCTCACCTGTTAAACTTATCCCCTGTCCCCTCCTCTCACCAACATCCCCTTTTCACCTGCCTCTCTCTTTCCTCAACTTGACATACAGTCGTGAGATCAACCCATGGACACGACGCCCTCATAACACTGGGAATGACGGTGGAGAGGCGCAGAGGAAGTGGCTTGAGGAGCGAGGAGTGGCAAACGTGGTGGTGACCACGTATGAGATGCTCATGGGCAAGCTTGACCGGCCGCGGTTGATCCGCCTGTCGTGGGAGTATGTAGTACTTGATGAAGGGCACAGGATCAAGAGCGCGGAGTGCAAGCTCAACGCTCACCTAAAGTCGTACAAGTCGAATCACCGAATTCTTCTCAGCGGCACGCCTATCCAGGTGAGTCACTGTGTATAGTTTTCCCTTGCTTGCTTCATAAGCCACATCATAGTTGTCCCGCTGCAGTCTCTATCTGTGTCTGTTTCTCTATTTCCTTTCCGTCTGTCTGACATATCTTAACATGTTTCCTTTTGCACGACTCCTCAGAACAACTTGGAGGAGCTCTGGTCGCTGCTCAACTTCCTCCTGCCCTCCGTATTCAACTGCGCATCAGACTTCGCCTCCTGGTTTTCCCAGCCTCTATCACACGTTCTGCCCAAAAAGGCGGGCTCCAGCGCTCGAGGGGGAAGTGCAGACTCAGTGCAGGAGGATGTGTTGGGCGAGGAGGAGAGGCTGCTGCTGATTAACCGCTTGCATCAAGTCCTTCGGCCGTTTGTCTTGCGGCGACTCAAGCACAAGGTACGACCAGCCGCGTGGCTTTCCGTTTTAGCACTCCCCTTCGAGTCTTATCCACGATAGCACATTCCTCGTGTGCTTGTCTTGCCCCCATGTCACTCCTGCAGTTTCATCGATCTGTAGCTTGCGTTTCTCCTTGTGTGCACCCCATTTCGGAATGTCTACCAGGTGGCATCAGAGCTGCCAAAGCGCCTGGAGCGCCGTATTCCATGTGCTGCGTCTGCATACCAGCAGTGGCTCATTCAGCAAGTTCTGCAGCATCAAGACCTCTCTGCAGGCACCACCAACACTCCGGTTAACAACGTTTACGTGAGTCCACATCTCCCAGTATTGCAAGTCAAATCGGTAAGGCGTGATTCGATTTATTGCTCTGATTATCGAAAGTGCTGGAAGCTGAATGCACTGTTTTTCCTCTCCATTAGGTTCTCGTCTTGCATCTTGATATTTAGTTCCATCCAACCCTTGCACGTTTCTCTATCTGCAGAACTTCAGCCTCCCGATGACGAGGAAGAGAAGCGCCCCCTCCATCATGAACGCAGTAATGGAGCAGCGGGGCATCTGCAACCATCCGTTCCTCTCCACGCTGCACGATCGCGAGGTGAGAGAGAGGGAGATGCATGACCTTGCTTGCTTCACAAGATCTACATCCCGTTTCAGCAGCGCCATGAATATAAAAAAGATTTTGAAACAGTACAGTACCACACTGCATTCACAGTCCAGACTCCCAGCTTCTCAAGCAATGCTGCTCCGCTTCTCAACCCACACTCGTGACAGGTTCAGGAGAACCTTCCAAACGGCCCCCTCCCACCACTGCTCAGCACGTGTGGGAAGCTGGAGACTCTGCACCGCATTCTGCACAAGCTGCATGCTGCCAAGCACAAGGTGCTGCTGTTCTGTACCATGACCCGGCTGCTTGACATTGTGGAGGAGTACATTGAAGGGCAGCAGAAGATGCATGCAGAAGCGCAGGAGAAGAAGAAGCTTCTGTTGGAGGAGGAGAAGAAGAAGCAGCAGCATCAGCTGGCGAAGGGAAAACAGCAGAAAGGCAAGGCGGAGGAGGGAAAGGGTTCGAGTGTGCTGCGGCAGGTGACCAGACGCCAGCAGCAAGCAGAAGCGGAGCAGTTAACCAACCAGACACCTGAAGTGCATGCTTCTTGCAGCTCCTCCACACCTTCAGCCAGTGGCAGTAACCCTTGGAACTACTTCAGGCTGGATGGAAGCACTGGCGGCAATGAGAGGGAGGAGTTGGTTCGGGAGTTCAACAAGCCGGATTCTGATGTCTTTATATTCCTCCTCAGGTGCATCACTGCCCCTCACATTCGTTGCCTCGGCCTGTTACGTGTTGTGTCATAGAGTTCCCAATAAGCATGGTGGCCTTCACTTTGTTCTCTGTCGCTCTTTTTTCTATTAACAGCCAGCTCATGTTTGTGAGTTTGCTGTGCAGTGTGCGCGCGGGAGGGGTGGGAATCAACCTGCAAGCAGCAGATACGGTCATCATGTATGACACCGACTGGAACCCACAGGTACCCACTTCAACCGCATTCTGTAACAAATTAAAGGCTATGCATTAGGCGGCCTTGTGGCGAAATCCGGCGTGAACAAACCATGTGGTTCTTCTCCTTCTACTCCCAACAATCCTCACATTCGTCTCCCCACTCTTGTGTTTGTTGCAGATTGACTTGCAGGCACAAGCAAGGGCACATCGCATTGGCCAGAAGAATGAAGTCCTTGTCATCAGGCTAGAAACCGTGAGTCTACACTCTGTGACCCGAATTCTTGTTTGCTCACTGCCTTTTGCCTGCACACCCTGCGTTTGCAGTTTCCTTGTGTTGCCTGTTGTTTGCCATTCAAAGAGAGCAAGTGACGTGTTTCCCGTATCGCTAAGCTTACGTAATTTCTCCCACACAAACCCTCCTCTGGCATCAGTTGGGGACCGTTGAGCACCGGGTGAGGACGGCTGCAGAACGGAAGCTAGGGCTGGCGAATCAGAGCATCACAGCGGGATTCTTTGACAATCAGACCAGGTATGCACCCCAATAATGATTTTTTTGAAACGGTCTCTGTACTTGCATTTATCTGAAGGAAGCCAAGTCTAAATACGTGCGTCCCTTAACACTGTACTGGAATGTGACCCTCCCGTTCATTGCCTCCACAGTGCTGCAGAACGCCAGACATACCTTGAGACACTGCTCCGTACAGAAGACCAGGGCGTGGTTGAACTTGATGCTGCTGCACCTGCCCCAGATGACCACTACTGCCCCCTGGCGATCTCGGACGCCCACTTGAACAACTTGCTGGCTCGGAGGTACAGTACCTTTCTGTTGTAGCATTTGGATTGTCAAAGTTGTCATGTAAATCATGTCTTTCTGTCGGACTTGCAGTAATCTCATGCTTGCATTATAACTCATTATGAGGCTCTTTAACCCTGTTCTGTTTGCTCTTGGCTCTATGGTATATTCACGTTCTTCATCATGTACTCATATATCCGTTTCTCCCTTGCAGTGAGGAGGAGAAGTCAATCTTTGCTGCAGCAGACAGGGAAAGGGAACTGCAAGAGAAGGCAAGTGGCCTTGGGAACCCCTTTGCTTGAGCACGTTTTTAAGGGTCTGAGAGTTCAATGACGCTTCCAATGCCTCGTGCAGGAAGCATGGCAGAGCGATAATCCTTCTCAAGACTCCTCACAAGAATCCTGTACTCCAAACACAATGAGGCTCACAAGACGATTACTTAGCCCTGCTGCACTGGAGAAGGTTGTCCAGCGCATGTGCCAGTCGAGCAGCGAAGAGAAAGAGAATCAAACAGCTGATGTTGACGAGCAGCTTGGAAGGGGAAAAAGGCGCCGAGTGGCAGTAAGCTCTTGGCTCACCCTCTCTAGCAGTAATGCTTGTCACATTTCCATTGCCTCCAAGAACATTAGCCCGTGGAATTCCATCCTCCCTATGACCCCTTCAAACAGCTGCATCTCCACTCACCATTCTCCTTTCTATTCCCCTCACCTGCTCGTTTTTCCCATCCGATCTTGCAGAGATTTGGCGAAAACTATGACGAAAACGTACTCCTGCGTGGAGAAGAATGATACGACTCCATTTTTACGGTGCCGTGAAACCATGATGATCATGACCAGCCTGTTTAAGTCTAAACTATTGTACAGCAACTGCGGTTTTCTGTGTAATTAAAATTTCCTTCTGTTGCTATGGTATATCGAGTGCAGCTTTTATCGCAATTAATTCGTGCATTCCAACACCATCTGCCACGATAATATCGAAGAGCAATATTGGGAGTGGGAGCCACACAAGAAATCGTCGATGAAATCAACGCGAACTCGTGATGCTGCATCTCCACCACCAGACCATTAGCGTTCTCGAGATGCACGCAAGTTCTTAGTTCAGACGCAGGTTCTCATTCTTCCTCTTAGCAAGCAGCGCTTAACGTGCCGTGCACGCACTTCCGCGCTCCACGAAGCAGCCACTTGGAATTCCAGGACCGCAAATCCAACCGTCGCAAGGATCGGGCCTGATGAGTCAGAGAAGGCGTTATTCCGGCGTATGCATGTCGTGTTCTCTAAATTCTCGCTTGAAGACGGAAACTCGGTTTGAGGCATTAGCCACTAATCTGACATTCCAATTTGAACGGAAGGCCTGCTAGTCAGAGGTGTTTGGTCATTCCAATTGGAACACTGGCAGCAGTCGGCGGGGCTGATTGACTGTTGTCATCACACCTCTTTGCCGCACGTTTCACGTTCCATACACTGATATATCGTTCGATTGCTCGAGGATCTTTTAGTGGCTGAGAAATCCGGAATGATGGGGACTCGCAATGGCCCAGAGTTGGGGATCGTACTATTTTAGGGTTAAGCTGAATAGTTGCACGCCATGACATTGTGGTACTAACAAGTGCGTATCTTGCTGACTTAGGAATTCGGATAATTATCCCTGTTCCGAAACCTGCAAAGCGTGTGACTGCTGTGCAGTGCCATTGAGATGGCAACATCGGCCAACACCCTTCGAGCGAGGGTCTCGCATGCCAATCACCCCACAGCTTCCTCCTCCGCCTCACCCACTGCTTTTCGAATCCTCCATGACAACCAGCTATTCATCCTACTCCTCCTCCTAATCCTGCTCCCACTTCTCTCCCTCCTCCTCATTGTCAGCCTGTCTCTTTTCTTTGGTTCCATCTCTCCTGGTTTTCCAGTCTCTGATATCCCAAAACCTGTCCTGATTCCTCATGCCACGGACCTCAAAATCTTGAAAAACAGCGGTATAATAAGGCAGAGGCGCATGCAATACTCTCGACGCCAGCTTCAGTTCCTTCCCTTCCCTCCTTTTCCCACTGCACCAGCCCCACCACCTGTCAGACAACCGCCCCCCGGCACCACCGTATCCAGCACCAACATCACAGCCCAGCTCTCCTTCAACGCATCTGCCACCACCACAACGAATTCTCCCAACCCTGTCGCCGTCACTACTCCAACTCCCGGGGGAGTTACGGCTATCTCCCCAAACACGACTGGTGGTCCTGCAGCAACTGGTGCTGGTCCTCATGGGTCGTTATTCCCACCTGTTTTTCCGAATCCTGTTACCACGGCGGGGGGCGCTTTGCTGGGGGCTGTTGGAGGCCCCACCACTGGAGCCTTGGCAGGAGCTGCTGCTGGTGCGGCTGCTGCGAGTGGCGAGGGCAACGCGACTGGTGCGGGAGGGGCTGGACAGGGAGCTGGAGTTACAGGATCAGGAACCACTATGGTGGCTGTACCTTCCCCTGCTGTCCTGCAGCAGCCACCACCACTGATTCTGCCTCCAGCACAGCAGCAGCAGTTGACCCCGCCACTGCCACCAGCACAACAGGGAGCAGGTACTGCTGGGGGAGGTTTTCCTGGTTTTTCTGCTGCGCCTGCGGGAAATTTTGCTGCTGGAGCTGTGCTTGGGAGTGCGTTGGGCGCTGCTGCTGGCACAGCTGCCGCTGCAGCAGGTTCGGCAGTGGCGTCAGCTGCTCAGTCTGCTGCACCTACGCCTCCCCAAATTCCACCTCCACAGCAGCAGCAAGTTCAGAGCCCTGCCCCGTCAGCAGCTGCAGTGACACCAGGAGGTATTGTCAACGAGACGCTGAATGCGGTAGGAGAGTTATCTGGTCAAGGGCGTGTTGTGATGAATGGCAATGAGATGCAGATGCAGCTACGGGCAGGGAGGGGGCTGCAGGTTGTGATGGGGACACAACAATTGGCATAGAATCAAATGGACGATAGAGATTTGCCTTTCTGTCATATATCGTATCCTATAGAATCAACGGATGATACTATTATTACAACATGGATATTCTCAGTATCCGATTTAAGAGTGGCTTTGCCACCTGTGACTTTGATTGGATCAATTTTGTACTCATAGCAAGATGGAAAAGTGGGTGTGTAACATGTATTGTCTCCCTTGACTGTCATTTCGCCTCAGTTGCACCAAACTGGGAGCACCATTCTTTGCAAGGTGCGGTCGGGGTCGGGGGTGAGCTTGACCGTACATTGCGACTCCCTTACGTGACGCGCGTGTCACGCTGACGCGACGTGGAAGGGTCGCATGCCCAAAAACATCGATCTCGACCACCCTTGTCAAAGTTGGCAGTTTCGAGCCCCTCGAAAATAAATTTACCTGGTCGTCATGTCGCGTTTACACAATTCGTCTTTTAGGTACTGTACTTTATTAGCGAAACGGGGGCACCGAGCATCAGGTCCCGCATCTTGAGTAAAGAGTCCAATCTGAAACTGCCGTAGGGTGTCCTCAAAATTAAAATTACATTCCTCCTTCATAACGAAGAGGCACCAAACCGCGGTACGTATGCCACGCGGCCCGTGAAGTCGCCCTTGGAACTGCTTGGTGCTGGGCTGGGCTGGACGTCTCGTGTCAATTCCCTTGAATCCCTTCTCGCCATTGCCACAGGCTCACATCATCACATTGCAGCCGTATCCATAGCAGCCTTGCGCAAAAGCACATCGTCCCTCAAGCGGCAACGTCATTGGAGAATACTTGGCGACACCAACACCATATCGAGCTCTCAAAAATCGGCGGCACATACTTCTGTATCACATATCGGATAATAAAGACTTGGGCAAAGCACGGTAACCTAAACCCTCGACCTTATCAGAAAATAAAAACCTGGGCACAGCGCGGAAACCACTCGCATTCACGAATCTCACGGCAGTTTCCCACTCTCCTAGGTTCTTACGAAACACAAGCTAAGACGAACGTCCGCAGACTGAAAGTAGGCTATCAACATGTCCGCCGTTCGACGTCTTCTAGCACTCTGCGTGATCCTCGGTGAGCGTCCATTTTCTCGCCGTAGCCCCGACCTGCCCCATCCGTAGCATGTATCATCCTACCTTTTCAGCCTTGGGTTCTTTCCCATGAAACGTCCTAACCGCACTGCTTCCCGATTCCCGCGATCCTGAAACCCACTCCTGTCTCTCGCAGCCGTCATAGGATCTGCGAGCGGGCAATGCGCGCGGACTTTTCAGGTGAGATAGATCCCTGTTCTATCGACACGATCAGCACAGCACCTAGCAAAGGCCTTCCAAATTCCCCTCCAAAACAGGCCGCGTTCGCGTTACAGCACACCCCGCTACTGTCTGACCAGCATCACCTCTGCGTACCACGTCACGCCGAAATTAGCGCCTGTACTGCCCCTCCCCGGCCCTGAGCAGCAATGCGACTTCTTCTTCCTCTATAATCGAGCGCGACCGCCCGTGTTCCGACTCTCGCCGCAGCAGGTCAACCGGCTGCTCAGCCCCCCCGTGTACCACAGGTGAGCGCCTTCAAATCCCGTTAAACCGAAGATCCTTCGACCCAGTCGCGCTTAGGTCATGTCGCTACCACAGGCGCGGGTGCTGGGGAGTGCATTGTGATCCTACTTTTGGCAGTCTCCGTGTTTGCGTGCTCTCGTGGGCATGTTTCTTTTCAAATTAAATACTTGCTATGCACGATGCGCGTGACCTGTTGCTTTATCCGTGTCACTCCCGCGGCATTGCCAGCCGACTAATACATCGTCTTAGACCTATCCACGTCAACTTACGTGTGTTCTGAATCTGTGCAGGTCTGGGGTGAAAGTGATTTCCGCGAACAGCAACGGCAACATGAGCTGCAATGTACGTCTCAAGTCGAGATCCATGCGTGCAAAGCCTCCTTGTTTGAATTTGAGGCCGTCTGAAAATCTTGCCGAAATCGGAACTGTCGTCCGAAGTAGTATTACGTTGCGCTGAGTGACCCAATCTGTGAGATGCGTACCTAATGTCGCCTACTTCTGTCGCATTCTGGATGTCGCATGTCGCATGATCGTGTTGTTCGCTGCATTGATGTGCAGGGCCCCCAGTGCAGCCCGATTTTCTACTTCACCAGCCCCACCGTCGGGCCTTCGGGCGGCGGGCGCTTTCCCATGGCGGCCAACTGCTTGGCGCACCACCCCATCCCCACATACGTCTACCAGGTGACACCGCACTCTAACGCTTTGGATATGCAAGAGCCGTTTGTCAACCAAGCCACGGAGAACACACACATTCTATTCCTCTGCCAGGGTCTTATCTTAGGCATCCTCCTAATACCCGGTTTTCCTCCCACACCCTTCTTCCCTGCAGGAGTACCGCCTAAAGTGTATTCTTCTTTACATGGATAACCTCGTTTTGCCACGTGTTGGCTGGTTGAATCCGAACGACAACAAGCAAGAGAAATTTCCAGAGGTCAGTGGTCATACTATTTCTATAGTTCGAAGGTCAGTAATGGTTTTCATGGGGCCTGAAATTGCTGGACCTCCGTGTTCACAACCTTGCTGTTTCCCCGTGGTTGATCTATTTGCTGTTTGCAGAGCCGGAGATGTGTAGTTTTCTACACCAGAACTTGATTGAATAAAGGAGAATAATCATTAGATCACCCAAAACCATCTAGTTAAATAAACTATATATTAACAAACCGTACGGTGCTAGCGGCAGTAGAACAAATCTTTATTGCAGCATTGTTAAATAAAGTAGGAATGTATTGAATAATGCATTTTAAACTGCATGAAGCTGTTAAGTATGTATAAACGAGTTCAGTAAAAGTACAGCGTGTAACATGCTCCTTCGTGCAGTTTGTTGGGAGCCCAGTTACGAGTGGCAGTGAACCAACCATTAGCAGGGACATGCGGACGTCAGATCATTCATTTGCTGACTCGACATTGGCGAAATTCACGTTGACCACTGGGATATGGCCGCAGTGTCCCAGCTCAGCTTGTTTTGTGTTCCCTGCGCGACTGCCACGCATGCAGTCAATTTCGTATTGAGCAGAAAATCTGGGCCGAGCCTGTGCAGCAAATCGTTAACGACAGCGTGACCCGAACCATACCTACGTTTTCGTATGTAACCAGAATTCGTCAGGGTATGTAACATCTCGTGTGCCGTCGATAACATCCTACTCGGCCAAACCGCGCCGCTGCCAAACCTATCCAGATACAGTAAACGCGTTGCCACAGCGGCTTGAGCAGCATTGCCGAGCCGAGGAGGCAGAGTCCATTGTCACGTGCGAAAACATTGGCCGCCGCGCCAACCTGCTTCCACTGCCGCCTAATTTCCAATTTCTCCCAACATACATATTCCTCCCAACCCAACATACATAATCTGTCCCATTCCATGATCCTCCACCACTCCCTCGCCACCGCTGCTATCTAGCAGCCCTCCCTCTCGAGGCGTGCTACCAGCGCCTCGTTATTGCAGCTCTCGTCGCTTCGCGCGCTCCCATTCACAAGCATGGGTGGCTTTACCGCCGTCGCTTTTCGCGCCGCCAGGAATTCGACGCGTCGCACGTCGCAGTCGCTTAGCCGGCAACTAAGCGGTTACTGTAACAACAGTACTACTATCGGCGAGGCGCAGTTTGCGCATGTGAAGGAGTAAGCAATACAGTTCAATGCGGCTCTAAACACGCGCTTCGTAAGGCTGCTCAAGCGCTTTTGTCGCAGATAATGTCAGTAATAGCGCTTTGTCGCGTACTGCTTAGTAAACATTCTCTTACGCTGCAACTATTGGATGGGAAAACAAGTATTTGTGCAACCAGTGGAAAACAAAAATACGATTTTACGCAAGTTGGTTTTCACAAGTTCACATGTCTCTCCCCTATTCTTTCTTCCCCTTTCCCCTTTCACATGCGATCTCCGACTCAGTTTGCGTCCATCTCCCCAACCATTCGCCACCGCCCTCCGCCACTTGCATACCGCCCGTCCCTCTTCCGCGCCCGTCGATGCTTCCGTTCCGCTTTCCGCTTCCGCCGCGCCTTCGTCCGCCTCCGCATCCTCCTCCGGTAATACTCTCCGCGAGCCCGTATCCTGCGTGGTCGCTGCTTGCGGTATCCTTCCCATTGCTCTCTACTGCACAGATGCTCCTCCGTCCCCCACCCCCTCCTCCCCCCACACCCCTTCCGCCGCCTCCACCCGGCCTTTCAGTGACCCTATTTCACCATTCCCCTCCGCTCCCCGCATTTGTATTCCCTGGTCTCCCTCCGCTCCCTTTCCACCTTTCCCCAGGACTCCGCTGCTACACGCACTTCTGAGTCGACTCAAAAGTCACCTCGAGCTGACAACACCCTCCTTCTTCCCTCACCCTTCTCCCTTCCCCCTCATCCCCATTTCCCTCCTTTCCCTCCCCACCCCTTCCCCCCCTTTCCCTTATTCCGACGCTCAACCTGATGCGCACTCTGGTGCGCCCTCCTTTCCCCCCCCCCATGTGCGCCCCCCTGTGCGCCAGCGCCCAGCGCGGCGGAGTTCCGCACGGGCGTGCAGCGCAACGGCAACATCGCGAAGCTGCAGGCGGGGTACCTGTTCCCCGAGGTGGCGCGGCGCAAGGCCGCGCACATTGCGCGCACGCCCTCCGCCAGCGCGCGCATGATCAGCCTGGGGATCGGCGACACCACGGAGCCCATCCCCGCGGTTATTGCGCAAGCCATGGCGGACGTGAGTGGGAGGGGGAGGGGGGGGGTGGAGGAGGGGAAGGGAAGGGGAAGAGTGGGTGAAGGGGGAGGGGAAGGGGGAGTGAAAGGGGGAGGGGAAGGGGGAGTGAAAGGGAGGGGGGCGTTAAAGGACATTCGTTAACTGTTGGATTTTCTAGCAGCTGGTACTGGCAATGGCTGACTCTTACGGCCGTTCTAAGGGCCGCTCTCACGCACACACAGTCACTCCCCTCCCCAAGTTGTGTGTGTTCTGTGCGCATGTGTGCATTTGTGCGTGCGTGCTTGTGTGCACGTTCACACTCCCCCTCACACACACAGAGAGCAGCAGGGCTTGGAACACTGGAGGGGTACACAGGCTATGCGGGCAGCCAGGGCGAAGAGGTAAGCCAAACCAGAGGCTGCTGCGCGCTGAGAATCATGTCAGAAGGCCACTGGGTAGCTAGGGGAAGGAGGCAAGTACCAGCATTGACAGGAATAGCCATTTCTGACGCGCCTGAAAAGCAGGAGAGCAGGAATAGGTGTATAGGAATCTGTGGGGGCCTTTTGAGTCAACTCCACCTTGGGCTCTTGCTGTGTAAGCAACAAAAAAACAATTGTGGTCGTTCTAACACAACTGCTGCCCAAACTTGCTGCTGCACGTGGCTATGGCTCCTGAACAATGCTCTCTAATCCCGCGTCTTCACGCCTTTGCATGTTTCATGCAGGCCCTTCGTCATGGCGGCGCTCTATGTTTCAGGGCAGTGCCGCTTCCTCTGTCGCTTTCTTCCTCTGTGGTTGTTCTCTCCTCACCCCTCCTCTCCCCTCGTGCAGGCCCTTCGTCGCGGCATAGTGGCGGCGTTCTATGAGGGCATGGGCGTGGCGCATGACGATGTGTTCGTGTCTGATGGCGCCAAGTGCGACATTGCTCGCCTGCAGGTGCCCATGCGTGGATGCATGCACGCACACGCACAGACACGCACATGCATGCACGCACACGCACAGACACGCACATGCATGCACGCACACGCACAGACACGCACATGCATGCACGCACACGCACAGACACGCACATGCATGCACGCACACGCACGGGCATGTGCAAGAGAAAATGCCCTCATTGAATGGCGTGTTCGTGTCTGATGGGGTCAAGTGCGACATTGCTCGCCTGCAGGTGCCCATGCATACACTCTCGAGCCCGCACATTTGCACTCCTGCAAACACACTCGCGCACAGGTGCACACACTGCACGTCACACAGCAGTGTTCCTTCAATACAAACGACTCCTGATTCATGTGCACCGGATATAATCGCATTGGCATGGCAGGTCCAGCACAATTCTGAGGCACCACCACCTCTTGCTGCTGTTTCGAGGCTTCTCCTTTACCCCTGCATAACCGATGTGTTTTCATGACTGTTATTGTCTGTATGTGTCCAGATGATGTTCGGTGCCAATGTCAGCATGGCGTGCCAAGACCCATCATACCCGGTGCGTGCGTGACGTGACATTGGTGCGTGACATTGGACAAGGATTCACCATGCATTCGCTGTGTGTGCATTCGCTGTGCATGCATTCGCTGTGTGTGCATTCGCTGTGCGTGCATTCGCTGTGCGTGCATTCGCTGTGCGTGCATTCGCTGTGCGTGCATTCGCTGTGTGTGCATTGCTTCCTTCCTTATCCTCCTCACATCCTTCATACGGCAACAGCACCTCTGGCAGCGCAGCAGAGACCCCAATGGTTCGGTTGCTGAAACCCATTACCGTTCAGACCGTCTCATCAGCCGTGCGTGCATTGGCTACGAGTGTGGCCAAGGGGCAGACAGGCTCCTACAAGCCCTCCTCTTCTTTTGGTAGACTCTTTCCATAGTTGTTGCTCCTCTCCTCTCCTCCCCCCTTCCTCTCTGCCCTTCCTCCATTCCCCTCCCCCTTCCTCTCCCCCCCCTCCCCCCCGCCCATGTTTCAACAGGCCTATGTGGACACGAGTGTGATCATGGGGCAGACAGGCGCCTACGACCCCTCCTCACAGCATTATGGCAACATCACGTACCTGCGCTGCTCGCCTGAGAACGACTTCTTCCCTCGCCTCGCCTCTGCGCCTCGCACTGATATCATCTTCTTCTGCTCGCCCAACAACCCCACCGGTGAGCTCAGCGCCCCTTAAAAGCCCAACAACTGCTCCAACATAATTTTCCCTGACCTCCCCTCTGCGCCTCGCGCTGATATCATCTTCTTCTGCTCGCCCAACAACCCTACTGGTGAGCTGCATGCTCCTTAAAGCCCATTAACCGCACCATCAGTATCTCCCCTGGCCTCTCCTCTTCCTCTGCGCCGATTTTTGAGTCGACTAAAAAATCTACTGGTGAGCTGCACGCTCCTTGAAGCCCATTAACCGCAGCACCAGCACCATCAGCATCTCCCCTGGCCTCTCCTCTCTTCCTCTGCGCCTCGCACCGACGTCATCTACTTCTGCTCGCCCAACAACCGCACCAGTGAGTGAGAGCAGGATTGTTTGAGCCGTACCAACCAACTGCCACCACCAGTCACCCACGTCTTTCTCCTCCCCCACCTCATCCTGCCGTTCATCCTCCGTGCCTTCCACCACACCACCACCATCTCCTTCTGCCTGTCCAAAAACCGTACGTTTGAGTCTGCAGGTCAGGATTGCTAAAGCCCAGTAAGCGCGCCGTATCTGGATTCATATAGTGCCTGGCCGTGCCTTTCCTCGCCCAGACTGGTGCCCATTTGTTTCTCCTAACCTATGGGCAGTCCGCGTCACAGCACCCAGTTCTGTCAGCGCTCGTATCTTCCACCTGCTCTGCACAATGGCCTTCATTGTCCTCTCTCCTCTCCTCTCCTCTCCTCTCCTCTCCTCTCCCCTCCTTTGCTCCGCACTCTGCCCTCGCCCCCCCTTCTCTCCTCCCTCGCAGGCAAGGCGGCATCACGGGCGCAGTTGGAGGAGCTCGTGGGGTTTGCGCGGCGCAACGGGTCCATCGTGGTGTATGACAGCGCGTACGGCATCTACATCGAGGACGACAGCCCTCGGTCGATTTACGAGATCGAAGGCGCTCATGAGGTGCGATGGGGCATGGTTGAAAGTGGTGGGCCGTGGTGGTGTGGGGCGTGATGGGGCATGGTGGGTCCATCGTGGTGTATGACAGTGTGTACGGCATCTACATCGAGGACGATAGCCCGCGCTCTATCTACGAGATTGAAGGCGCCCATGAGGTGATGACAGTGGTGGTGTGCGGTGGGGCGTGGTGGTGCATGACAGGTCCATGGTGGTGTATGACAGCGCGCACGGCATCTACAGACTACATCAAGGATGACAGCCCCCGATCCATCTACGAGATAGAAGGCACTCATGAGGTGACGGCGTGTGCTGGGCCGTAGGGAGGTCCGCGGGCTTCACAGGGGTGCGTGCACCTGGGGTGTGCACGTGGGGTGTGCACGTGGGGTGTGCACCTGGGGTGGACAGTAGTGCTTTTCCTCCCTCTGCTACTACAACAACAGTCATGCTGTTGTTCCTCACCTCTCTTCTGACTCTCCTTCCCTTCTCTCCCCCCCACCCCCCGCCCCCACCCAGGTGGCCATCAAGACACATCTTTTTCCGATACACGGGCTTCGCAGGGGTGCACGTGTGGAGCTGACATGCTCATATTCCACACCTCTCTTCCAACGCTTCTTCCCTTGTCCCTCCGCCACTCCCAACCCCACCCAGGTGGCCATAGAAACCGCATCTTTCTCCAAGTATGCGGGATTCACAGGGGTGCGCCTGGGGTGGACGGTCGTGCCGTCCACCCTGCGCTATGCCAACGGCCATGCAGTGAGAGCGGACTTCAGCCGCATTGCCAACACTGCATTCAATGGCGCCAGCAACATCGCACAGGCGGGCGGCACCGCTTGCGTCTCGTCGCAAGGCCTCCAGGTCAGCTGAACAATCCTATCCTACCATTCGGTTACAGAGTCTTGTTTCTTTTCACTGATTGCTCTAGTACCCCCCCGACTCTTTGGTACTTCTTGACCCTTACCACCACCACCCTCCCCCCTCTCCACTTGCCCAATGCCCCTGCCCCCATCCATTTCCTCCATCGTCCAACCTCTTGTTTTTTCCCTTGCTGCTTCATCCAGGCCATGCGGGGTCTCATTGCTTTCTACAAGGAGAATGCTCGCATTCTAAAGACTGCATTCTCAGAAGCAGGTCTAGAGACGTACGGAGGAGTGAATGCTCCTTATGTATGGGTGCGCTTCCCTGGCCGCTCGTCCTGGGAAGTGTTTGAGGAGATTTTGGCTCGCACTGACATGGTTACCACCCCCGGGAGTGGATTTGGGCCCGGTGGAGAAAGCTTCATTCGTGTTAGTGCGTTTGGGCATCGAGAGAACATTGTTGAGGCGGCACGTCGCATGGTGGACCTATATGGCAAAAGCTGAAAGGTTTTCACTTGGAGACATTAAGTGTTGATGGAGGTACATTGATGAAGGGAGGTAGCTGCTCTGTCCTAGGTGGATTTGGTTTTGGTTTTTATATGGAAGGGAAAAGCTGTTCATTCAACTGTTTTCACTCATTTTCACTAAGATCTCGTCCAGAAAATTACAAGAACGAATTTGTCTGTCACGTTCATCTCTCATATTGATGGCTTTTGCCGACCTCAAGCACCCGGCACGGCACATCAGGGACTCTGATAACGTTGTGGCGGAGTTCCGAGTGCGTTTGCCCCATGATCCGAGGCCTTGGATCCGTGTGCTCCGGATTCCGAAGGGCTTGGGCGCAAGGCTCCGCCGCATACGACAAGGCCAGCCGCTCACAATTCCGCGCCCACCTGACCGTGAAAAATGTGTTCCAACCAACCTGCCCGTGACCCTTTGTGCCAGTGATGTGTCAGAACATTATAGCTCATGCATATTGTGTAGGCTATAGAGGGGTAGCCCATAAGGGGTACAACCCAATTAGGGTTAGTACTTGTACCCAATTCATTCATATTTCATTCATTCTCGTTTCAATTATCACATGGTATCGAGCAGGTTCCCTCGTGGGAACTGTTCTTAGGGCCCACCAATTCGACATTTTTTTTTTCTGCCCGGAGCGCGCTCAGCCTTAGCCCGAGTCGCGCGCCCCCCTTTTTTCTCGCCCCGTCGCGCCGCCCTAGCGGCCCTGTCGCCTGCCTTGCGGCCCTCGCGCCGCCCTACCTGGCCCCGACCCGCCGCCCGGCGGCCTCGTCGCCTACCCCGCGGCCATCGCGCCGCCCTTACCCGGCCCCGATCCGTCGCCCTGCGGCCTCGTCGCCTACCCAGCAGCCCTCGCGCCGCCTTGCGGCCCTGACGCCGCCCTTACCGGCCCCGGCGCCTACCTGCGGCCCCGACGCCTACCTGTGCGGCCCCGGCGCCTACCTGCTGGCCCCGCCACCTACCTGCGGCCCCGCCACCTACCAGCGGTCCCGCCACCTATCCGCGGCCCCGCCACCTACCTGTGCGGCCCCGCAACCTACCTGCGGCCCCGCCACCTACCAGCGGCCCCGCCACCTACCCGCGGCCCCGCCACCTACCTGTGCGGCCCCGCCACCTACCTGCAGCCCCGCCACCTACCAGCGGCCCCGCCACCTACCCTCGGCCCCGCCACCTACCTGATGGCCCCGCCACCTACCTGCTGGCCCCGCCACCTACCTGCGGCCCCGCCACCTACCAGCGGCCCCGCCACCTACCTACAGCCCCGCCACCTAACCGCGGCCCCGCCACCTACCTGTGCGGCCCCGGCGCCTACCTGCGGCCCCGCCACCTACCAGCGGCCCTGCCGAGCCGCCCAGCAGCCAAGCCGCCCAGCAGCCGAGCCGCCCAGCAGCCGAGCCGCCCAGCAACCGAGCCGCCCAGCAGCCGAGCCGCCCGGCCGCCGAGCCGCCCAGCAGCCGAGCCGCCCAGCACCCGAGCCGCCGAGCCGCCGAGCCGCCCAGCAGCCGAGCCGCTGAGCTGCCCAGCAGTCGAGCCGCCGAGCCGCCCAGCAGCCGAGCCGCCGAGCCGCCCAGCAGCCGAGCCGCCGAGCCGCCCAGCAGCCGAGCCGCCGAGCCGCCCTGCAGCCGAGCCACCCGAGCCGCCCTGTCCGGTAAGAGCAGCGCCTCTTTCACAACACTACCCTCACCCTACTGTTTGCGCTGCTAGTCTACTGCTGTCATGGCTACCCCTAGTGTCCTCGCTTTTGACGCTGAGGGTCGGGCCATTGACGTCTGGATAGATGACTTGCAGCTTTTCTTACAGTGCGATAGGGCAGACGGCCTCTCCCTCTTTGACCTCACTTCTGGTGCCTCTCCTGCCCCCCCTGCTGATGCTGACGCCACTGTTCGCTCACAGTGGGCCACGCGCGATGCTGCTGCACGTCTTGCTGTGCGTCGCCACCTGCCTACCTCTGAGCGTGCGCACTTTAGCCAGTACAAGAGTGCTCAGACCTTGTACGACGCTATAGTTGCACGCTACTCCTCCCCTACCACTGCTGCACTGAGCCGCCTCATGCTACCGTACCTCTTCCCTGACCTAGCTGCCTTTCCCACAATCGCTGGCCTCATTACGCACCTCCGCACTAGGGACACTCGCTACCGCGCAGCGCTTCCTGCTGAGTTCTGCGCCAAGAACCCCCCCCCCCCCCCCCCCCCCCATGTACATCACCCTCTACTACATAGTCACCCGTCTCCCTAACTCCCTTCGCGTAGTCAGGGACCACTTCCTCTCAGTTTGCCCCACCACTCTCACCGTTGACCTCCTCGAGAAGGCCCTCCTAGCAGCAGAAAAGAGCATAGTAGCTGTAGGAGCCTCTCGTGGTGACCCTCGCACACCCATCTTTGAGGGGTGTTCCCCCTCCCCCCTTTTGCTCTCTGTTGCCTCTGCTGCTGCGGCCGACCTCGTTGGTCTGGAGTCGGTCGGTGCGGCGTCTACCCCTAGTGGGAAGCGTCGCTCTGGCAAGGGCAAGGGGGGCAGGGGCGCTGGAGGAGCTAGCGCGGGCGGTGGAGGCGGCGGTGGCGGCAGTGGAGGGGATGGGGGTGGTGGTGGGAGTGGTGGCGGGGGTGGAGGTGTCGGCGGTGGCAGTGGAGGCGGAGGCGGCGGCGGCGGTGGCGGTGGGAGCGGAGGTGGCGGAGGTGGCGGAGGTGGAGGAGGCGGTGGCGGAGGAGGAGGAGGAGGAGGTCGTGGCTCTTCGCAGAGGAGTGGCTCCGGTGGTGGTCAGCGCCAGCAGCAGCAGCGCAGTCGGGAGACCCTGTCCCCTCAGCAGCTCCGTGAGTTGTACGCTGCACGCCAGCGGGGTGGGGGTACTGGTCCGTGCACCTACGTCCTGCGCACCGGCGACCGTGCGGGTGAGCAGTGTGGGGAAGCGCACCCCACCCAGCGCTGCTTTGGCCGCGTGACGGACGCTTGGCGTCACCAGTTCCCTGAGGCCACTGAGATCCCTCGCTGGGGCGAGCTGTCTAGGGCAGGGGTAGCTATCTTTGACCTTGACTTTGATGCTATTCTTGCTGCTATGTATACTGTGTCTAATAGTGAGGAGGGTGAGTGTTACCGGTGTTTCCAACCCGACCCGGGCATTGAGACTGCTGCTCTAGGTGCTGGTGAGGCTGCTGCTCTTAGTGCTAGCGAGGCTGCTACTCTAAGTGCTAGTGCGTCTGCTTCCTCCGGTACTGGTGAGTCTGCGCTCTCAGGTACTGCGTCGGCTTCGGCCTCCCACACCTTCACACTTGACTCGGGGGCTTTTCGCTCCTTCTTTCGAGACCGCACCACACTCACGCCGCTTGGTCGGCCAGTTGCAGTCTCCCTGGCAGACCCCTCTGGGGGTCCTGTCCTTGCTCAATTCTCCACTGTCCTCCCTTGTCCGGCGGCCCCCTCTGGCACCCTGTCTGGTCTTTACCTCCCCTCGTTCTCTACGAACTTGGTGAGTGGTGCTGACCTACAGGATGCGGAGGTTCACCAGTTCACTCCTGCGAGTCAGCGGGTGACCCACTGCACGGACGCTCGGACAGGCCGACACCTGGCCACGTTTACACGTCGGCTGGGGTCGAGCCTGTACACACTGACCACTGCGTCTCCTCCAGTCCCTGCGTCTGGTCAGGTAGCTGCATCGGGTCAGGTGTTAGCTGCAGCGTCCACGTCTGGTCCTGTGTCTGCCCCCTGCTCGTGTCGCCTCCTGTCTCACCAGACTCTCCTCTGGCACCACCGCCTTGGTCACCCCTCCCTGCTTCGTCTCCGAAGCATGGCCTCCCGTGTCCTTGTCTCTGGTCTTCCCCGGTCCCTCCCTCCCCTTCCTCCGGGGCCTGGCCCTACCTGCGTCCCCTGTGTCGAGGGGCGGCAGTGGGCTACCCCTCACTCCTCCCAGTTTCCTCCGACAGAGGCCCCGCTGCGGACGCTTCACATGGACGTGTGGGGCCCAGCCCGCGTCCGTGGACAGGGTCACGAGCGCTATTTCCTGCTGGTGGTTGACGACTACTCGCGTTACACCACAATCTTCCCCTTGCGCAGCAAGGGTGATGTCACTGAGGTGTTGATCGACTGGATCCGCGCAGCTCGTCTCCAGCTCAGGCGGAGCTTTGGCTCGGACTTTCCTGTTCTGCGTCTGCACTCTGACAGAGGCGGAGAGTTCTCCTCTGGCCTTCTGCGAGCCTACTGTCGTGCACGAGGCATCCGCCAGACCTTCACGCTTCCGGACTCTCCACAACAAAATGGGATTGCTGAGCGCCGCATTGGCATGGTCATGGACGTCGCCCGTACGTCCATGATGCATGCGGCTGCCCCCCATTTTCTGTGGCCGTTTGCGGTTCGGTACGCGGCGCATCAGATCAACCTTCAGCCCAGGGTCTCCATGCCGGAGACCTCCCCAGCTTTGCTGTGGACGGGGAAGGTTGGCGATGCGTCTGCGTTCCGTGTCTAAGGATCTCGGGCGTTTGTCTGCGACTTGTCTGCGGACAAGCTGTCCCCTCGTGCTGCTCCTTGCGTCTTCCTGGGTTTCCCCCCTGACGCGCCAGGGTGGCAGTTCTACCACCCCACCTCTCGCCTTGTTCTGTCCTCCCAGGACGTCACGTTCGACGAGTCGGTCCCCTACTACCGCCTCTTCCCCTACCGCACTCCGTCCCTCCCCCCGCCACCGCTCTTCCTTGTACCAGGTCCCCCCCCGGTAGACCCCCTCCCCCCTCAGGGTCCTGCCCCTTCAGGTGTGTCCCAGGTAGACGCTGTTGCGCCTGTCGAGGTTGCTGGTGACTCTGGTGCTGCTGAGGGTGCTGAGCCTGGGGGTGCTGACTCTGGGGGTGCTAAGCGTGTGGGTGCTACGCCTGGGGGTGCTGAGCCTGAGGGTACTACGACTGGGGGTGCTGAGCCTGGGGGTGCTGAGTCTGGGGGTGCTGAGCCTGGTGGTGCTACGCCGGGGGGTGTTGAGCCTGGGGGTGCTGAGCTTGGGGGTGCTACGCCTG